CCTGAATTGTATCAATCATTGTTATAGTATCATTCATTTCATTCTAGCTACATTTTTTATTTTCATATATGTGCTATATTTGGTCTCGGTACAAAATATGAAAAGGGGATACTTAGAATGAAGGTCTGCATTGACAGAAGTTTCATTATTTCAGATCTGGTCCTGGAGACTAGCAACATCATAAATGATCATATATTACAGGTGGTTTTGAAACTAAAAGAAAATGTTTCAAGTAAGTTAATAATTTCCCAGTAGGAACAGGGTATGCAAATAAATGTTTTTCATCTCTTGTAATGAGTGCAATAGTATAGGTGCTCTTTAAGCCACTAATAGGTGCTTAAATATAGATGCCCTTTAAGCAACTTAACCCTTAAGGCTGTTTGCTATGGTAAAGCATGCAGCATTCTAACCATACTGTCTGAGCTCCGACAGGTCTTCTAACGTACTAAGAGGCAAAGAAAAGTCTGTAGACGTTTCAAAGCTTAAACAAAGGTTTCCATAGAGGAATTGGCTTCTATTCTTCATTTTTTCCTTCTTGAACTACTGACAATTGAGATGCTTTGATCAAACGTTCCATCACTATTTACCTTCAGAGATTAACTAGCTGGAGCACTTCAGCTCTAAAAGCTTCAGAAAATTGCAAAAAGCACCAAATAGGGACTTTAATGTTGCATAATGGTCTAATTCTAGGAGAAAGATTACAGATGGCTCATCAGACATCTCTTTATCAACATTTCTTTCATTGATGTTGAGTTTCATGGCTGTTCAAACAAATTAATTTTACAAACAGTTCTTTTGCAATAAAGACACCATTTTTATTCTAATGCAAGCATCTTTTGAGGCAGAGACAAAGACTGTCCTAATGTCATTCTGTTTGGGGGAATCTGTTGTAATCCAGATTGTGCAAGTTCTCCAATTCTTTGTTGTATAGTAGTTCAGTTGAGTATCTCTTGACCAGCAGTCCAATTCCCGACTAAAAGTAGAAGCAAGGCTTTGTATGTCTTTTCTAAGTGAAGAGTATCTGTAAACTGTCTGAGATCACAGTCAGGGTCAGAAAGAAAGACAGCACACATCGAAAAATAGAACAGCCCTCAGCACATCAAAGCACAGAGATTTGTCTCAAAAGGCTGTTGGCAATTTGTAAAATGTCGGGTTATTTCAGGTGCCTCACTGAAATGAGCAGCTAGGTTGACAAGTGGATGCAGGTAAGACATGAGGAAAAAATCCTTAAGACTGAACAGTCTGTGCCAAAAAAAAAAAAAAAAAAAAAAAAAAAAAAAAAAGTAATTTAATATCTAGACTGATGCAAACACAAAATCAGGGTGCCTTGTGCCAAGAGGAAAGGAAACCAGAAAAATACATAGCAGCACAAGTTACTTCAATCAGTAAAGGCAGACCCAATTTTTTTTTTTCTTTTCTTTCCTTTCTTTTTTCATTTTTACCGTATAAAAAGATGTTGATTTTAAATACTCTTCTCTAAACACTGCCTGCTGCCAAGTATATCGATTGTGTTAGATTAGATTTATTGTAGGCCTCATAGCAAATGTGAGAAAGCTAGAAGCATGACATGTTTTGGTAAATGGATAGATTATGGATAGAAAAGTAGTCAAACAAACGTGGAGAACTGCAGCTATAAGGAGTTGTATCGCAGGCTTCTAACAGTTAAGACACAAAATTCTGTCTTGAGCAGGAAGTAGAAAGTTAAGGCTTGATTCCAAACAAACAGCGCAGAAAGATTGTCATCATTCCCATCTCACAATCAAGGACCACACAGCCACTTCCTCATTATTCCACTAGCAGAAACTGACAGAATCAGAAGGGTAAAAGCTAGAAAACATAGGTTGAGATATAGACAATTTAATAGGAAAAGGAAAAGCTGTACATACAAGCAGAACAAAATAAGGAATTTATTCACTGCTTACCATGGAAAGGCAGGTGTTTAGCCATCCCCAGGAGAGCTGGACTCCATCACAAATCATGGTTACTCAGGAAGACAAACAGTATAATTCCAAACACCCTCTCTTTTTCCTTCTTCCTCCCAGTTTATATACTGGGCATGATGTCACATAGTCTGGAATATCCCTTTGGTCAGTTTGGGTCACTGTCTGCTGTGTCTCATCCCAGTCTGCCAAGCAGCCCCAGTCCCCTCACCAGAATAAAACATTTTTAAGGGAAATTTCTTTGTGGCTTTACATCTTCATTCCAAGTATGCCACTAGGATTTGTCTCTCATAAATGTAATGCTAACCATAGCCACAAATTGACCCTTATATGAGGATCCCATGTCATAGTCAGGACAATAAAATCCTTTCACAGCCCAAACTTTCCCTTGCCAGTCCATTTGCATTTCCGCTTCACAAGGTCCCCTGTGCTTTGTCACTTTCTTATCTGTTGTCTATCTGTGAGTAGCCAGAGCCTTAAACCATAGCAACTCCAGCTGTGGCCTGCTTTCTCTCAGCTGAGCAAGCCCTCAAGTAAGAATTTTGAAGCTGAGCAAGCTTTCAACTTACCCCTTTCCTCTCAAACATTGGAGCTTCAACAGTGTGTCTGTGTATGCACAAACTCACTGTTTCAGTACTTGCTCACGCCAAGGAGCTCACTTGTGATAAGTGTACTCCCCAGGAAGGAATCACATTAAAGAGGACATTGAGGTGCTGGAGTGTGTCAAGTGATGGGCAAAAAGGCTGGTGAAAGGGCCAGAAAATATGTCATATGAGGGACAGCCGAGGGAGCTGCGTTTGTTCAGTCTCAGGAAGAGGAGGCTCGTGGGGCGCCTTACAGCTCTTACAGCTCCTTGAAAGGAAGGTGCCAGGTGGGAGCTGGCCTCTCCTATGATGCCTGCAGGACTACATGAAATAGCCTTAAATTGAGACAGGGGACATTCAGATTGCATATTAATTTTTTTCTTCGTTATTAGGGTGGTCAGGCATTGGAATGGATTGCCTAAGGAGGTCAGTGAGTCACCTTGAGATGTCCTTGAGGTGTTTGGATCTCATTCTGTGTGATAGTTTAGTAGTTTAGAGGCTGCAGTGGTAATGGTGGATGGATAGCTGATGGACTGCATGATCTTAAAGGTCTCTTCCAACAGAGATGATTCTGTGATTCTACGATATTGCTTCTGTCATCCTTCAAGGAGCAAGCATTTCAATATGTTCGTCACCCCAGATTAATCCTAGCATGGCTATAATCCACGTTGGCCAAATCCTAGCAGCCAAGTACAATAGCTTGGACACACTCGTGAACAGTAGCTCAATTACAGTCTGTCAGTAATTATAGATAGCAAACCAGCTGCACTGTCATGTCTCTTTCGGCCCGGGCCAGGAGCGGGAGCTGGCGGAGCGCTCTGACTCTCACCGTCCCTCACGGAGGCCGCGCGAGCGCCCGCGCATGCGTCCCGCCGCGCCGCTAGGGGGCGAGCGCGCGGGGAGGCGGCCGCGGAGTGGCGCAGGAGCGGGCGGAGGGAGCGCTTCCTGCGGCGGCACGGCCACTTCCTGCGCCGCTCTGGTCTGGGGACGGGACGGGGCTCTGCTGCAGGAACTGCTCTCCTCTGCCTGCCCCGCACGGTGCTACCCGCAGGCCCGTCCCGCCTGCCTCCGCTCAGGCACTGCGTGAGTGTCCTTGGGGTCCCGCGTGGATGTGGCCGGGAGTGGCGCCGGGGGGCCGGGCTGTGGCCCCAGGGGGGGGCGGCAGGCCCGGACGCCTCTCCCGGCACGGGGGCCGGGGGCTGGCGGGCTTCCATGCGCCCGGGTATACCTGCACGGTTCACTCGAGCGGGTCTCTACGAAATACATGCTTGTTTGGAAACAGTGCCCACGGGGGCAAAGTAAGAACTGCGCTGTAAGTTATGAAACTTGTTTAGGAGAGCCTGGCAATTCCTGGCGAGGTAACCTGTGCTGAAAGTCATGGTAAAGGTCGTTGTTGTGAAGTGTTGCTGCATTGTTTTGGGTTGGGAAAGGTAACCCCTCCATTGCATGTCTTCTTGGCGTTAACAGTTTCAAAAGCTAAACCGAACGTGTGTTTATCTTGCACCTAACTCTTGAAATTCTCATTCATCCTTCTATTAGTAGCTAATTGTATCCATAAACTTTACGTGTGCTCCACGGTGTGCTGTGGAGAGTGTCTGGTCTGCTCAGAGGTGAATGAAGCATGTTAACAGTTATTCTACTAGAAATGGAAAAGTTTGGACGGCACATAAATACTCATTCAGACTAAATGTCAAGTGACTTACTTGTTATGCAGCACGACGGCATTTCTTCTGCAGAATTGAAAGTGAACATCCAAATAGTAACTTCCATTAATGCAATAATGCTTCCCCTAACCCAACCCATCAAATGGGGAGAGAAAAAAAAGAAGGAAGAACTGTACTAGCTTCCTCATGGAGTAGTGCAGCCATGGCCATGTATTTACTATTCACTAATGTGGATTGTTATCACAGGAAATTAAAAGCAAAGCCAAACCCAACCACATAAACTCCTCATTATTAATTTTGCTACGCTCTGTGCTTATGCTGCCTGCAGTAACAGAGCTATCTGGCTAGTTGTACCAGAATCAATTTTAAGTTTAAAGGATAGTAAACTTGTATTTTTCTTTTCAGAGTCTGTTCAGTAAAATAATACTATATATGTAGGATATTCTGAAAGCATGATTAGATTAGTTGCAATTGGTGTTATAATTTGGCTGCTTTTTTACATGTCATGTTGTGTAAAAATGCTAACGTCATGACATAACATGTAGTTCATGATTGGCTGCGTCTTCATGTTCTAATGATGTACTCAAGGGTTTCTTTCCATATATTATGAACCTCTGTGGAATGTTCTAAATATGAAACAAATTCCACTGTTACATGATACTTTTGCCTGAGATGAAAACTTGTATCTTGTGATATGTCATTTTTTGATATGTCATTTTTTTTAAAAAACCTAAACTTAAAATTGAGGGGATCATATAAAAATTCACTTTTAAACGTAAAGTAAGCAGTAATTACTAAACTTCAGTGTATGCAGTATTTTTATTTAGTGTCTTGTACTGAAAGTAAATCCTGTGATCATCATTCTCTTAAGCAATTCCTGGAAGTATATTCTAGCTTATTTGAATTTTTAAACCAAGAGCTTAAAAAGTAACTAGTATTTCTTTTTGCCTGATTTCAATTTTTTTGTTGTTTTTGGTTTTTTTTTAGATAAAAGGATACATGTTCACTTCAAGTAGAAAGGAGCATGTTCCCAAATTCTTCCAACTTGGGTCGTCCACCCTTCCCTCCAAAATATCAACAACAAAGTACTTCCTTCGCTAAACTTCCTCTAAATATACCTCCTACTCTTCTTTCTCACCAGCAAATTATCGTTCCTCCATTTCATTTTCGCAGTGCAGTGTAAGTGCAGTAAGGTTTGATAATAGAGGTTGGGTCTGAAAGAAATATTTCTGTTCATGGAGGAGGTTTCACTGTTTTTAACATTGAACTGCATTGAACTTCACAAAACATGAAGATGTCATGGATATAAAAAAGAGCTATATAATTTCTCTCATGGACCTGCAAATCTTAATGCTCACCTGCAGTGTGCATAATGCATGGGATGCATTATTAGACTTGTTAATCCACTGTTCAGTTTTAAAGCTCTTCAATCATACTTGTTTATTGGGGAAAACAGGGAGGAGATGAGAAGGGGAAGAAACATTGATTATTTGGTTTATATTTGAAGACACTGTAGTGTTCTTTAAGCTTTTGAATTTTACAGTTCCTAAAGTTAATTTGTTTGCTAACCCGTTTACACATATGCTGTCAAGAATGAGCATTTTCTATTTTTAATGAAGTACATATTAAAAACTGAAATATATCTTCATGTTAAATAGAAAAGAAAGATGTATTCCTTCTAAGAAAAAAAATGACAGGACTTGTAGAGTTTAATATTCAGTTAACAACTACCAACCCATGAAAAGCATCTTGGTTGTCTTATAGTCTAATAGGTATGGATTGTAGTCTTTCTAGAGCTCTTTTGAATGGGAACATTGAAGCTGCTCCAGCTGTTAGTCCAGTTATTACACTGCAACCAGCGACTTATGGAAGTGTCAGTCCAGTGTCTACGTCGGATGCCCTGATGTCATTTCAAGGAAGAAAGTAAGTTCTTTGTATGCGTGTGACTAATACTGGTTGTAGTGAACCCATTGAGAAGCTCATCTGATACCAATTTCTTATGCGATTTGAGTTATGGTAGAAATATCAATACTGAATACTCTTTTCTTTTTGATGAAAACAGGCCATATTGGCTCTTTAAAGCATTGTACCTGTTTGAGAATCTCAGTACTCAGAAGTGACTTCCTGTACCTAGTTTTTCTCTTCCAGCAGCTGTAGAATTGCAGAAGTGATTTAAGTGATTTATTGTAATACTGCAGTGGATTTTAGTCTTGTGTGGGCTTGACTTTAAGCTAGTTTGTTTAAACGAATGTTCTTTTCCTGGCAATTTGTCTAGTTCAAAACAAGAGCACACCCTCAAGGTTTTATGGGAATTGTCATGTTTTCCTGATGACACATTAGGTGTTTTCCCTAATTTTCTTAACTATGTGATATATTATTTTTCAAATACAAGGTTTTAAATTCAAGCATGTTCTTTTTTTAAGGTAGATTTTATGGTTTTACAAAAACTACTTAGTTTTTGTAGGTTTTTTTTTTAATTAACTTGAATTTACATTGCTACCTTTGTTATTTTAGTTACCAAGGAAAGGGAAATTTTGCATGAATGCAGGGTTTAATTTTCTTTTAATGATTTAGAAAAAAAACCCCAGGTCTCTTTATTAGTTCAGATATACTAGTTGATATACGTGTTCTAATAGTTGTGGGAATCAGCTGTGGGAAGAAGGTTCTATGTAGTCTGTCTTCAGTACTATCTCCTGTATGCTATTTCTCTACCAAATCTAGCCTGAAAAAATAAGCACAACCAACTATATGCTATTAAGTTATAGCTGAGTGTGTAATTATCCCACAAACTAAGGAGATTCCTGGTTTCATGCTGCATGCATCCTTCCCTCTTGAGCAGTCTGTTCTATGAAAAACTATGCTATGTTGGGAGATTTGCAGTCAGCTTAAACAAACTTGTCATTTGGATTTCAGTTGGTTAAGTGCAGACGCTTGCCTTAAAGAATTGCATCAATCCAATTCTAGGGTAGCTTCATTTCTGCAATTGTATGTTCTCTTTTCCCATTCCAGGTTTGTTTTACATAGTACCTAGGATGGGCACGCTTGTTTCTGTGGCATACTTTGGCTTAGTGAAGTAGTTATGTCGTTAAAAGTTAGTATTTAAATTTTGTAGAAACTTACTTTTAATCCTTTTAATAAGTTGGAGCTTGTGAACTAGAGGAATTACACAGTGTCTCTTTCTAGGAGACAAAGTCAACAGAGTGTTCCAGATGATGCCAAACGGCAGCGGATTCATTCACGTGATTCTGACACAGCTGTAGTTAACCAAGCAGTGCCTTTCCAGGAAGAGAGAAGACGCTCCTTCCCATCATCAATTTCCGTTCGGTCTCCAGTGTTGCATGGGCGTGGCTCCCCAGCCTTAATTAGATGTGTCCCTCCTTGGCAAGATACTTTGTTTCCAGACCCTCGGGAAACCGGGCTCCCTGTTGCCAAAGACGAGGTAATGGCTTTCTGTGCCTGTGCTTTTACTTCTGTCTTTTGAGACTCCAGAGGTGCTGTGGGAGGCCACAAAGATTTCTGCCAGGGTTATTGACAGTATCATGGGATATCTCTTGGTAAGCTGCCATTAGAAGGAGTATCAATAAGTGTAGCTGCCGCTGTGGTTCTGTATCACCTCCTTGTCTGTACTTGGGTTTGAAGTATTTTTGTGGGGGCAGGGGAAGTCAGGGTATTGTTTCCTTGTGTTGTTTTACATCCTAGTATCAGGAAACCTATATGTCTGCTCTAGGAAGTAAAATTTTGAGAAATAGTCCATTTCTCACATGATACGAGGTGAGGAAGATCCTGACTGAAAAAACCCCACTGTGGTAATATTAGAGAAGCCCGTTCTGAATAAAAACAGTGTTTAGCCTGTGAAGATGTTCACTACCTCTTTTCAAGAAAGCATAAAAGTTACTGTCATAGCTGTTCTGGAATATAAAAGAGAATGGAGTGTAGTTTCGAACTGTTTCTTGTTCTGACAGAAGGATTTTGGGTTTTCAGTGTAAATATGCCTGTTGATTAAAGAATGTAACTGTTTTGAAAGGAAAACAGTCAATACTTCCTTCCAACAAAGATCTGATTTCTTTAGTAGTTTATGTGGGGTAGAAAAGAAAGCTAATTTAAATCAGATTTTACAATTTTTTTTTCTCCCTATTCCTGGTAGGCAAACTGTTGACATTAAAGTCAGCAGAAGATGTCTCTGGTCATTCACTACATATACTGATGATGCAAAAATTATTTTCTCTGGTTTGAGATTTTATAAGAAATGGAACAAATATAAATTTAAAAACTTAACAGAAATTTCTTTTGGGAACTATTCATTGTTAATTTAAGTGCAGTAAAACTCTAGACACCAGAGTAGATCATGTGAAATGGTGCAGTGTTTTGCATTTAATATCTCAACCTTCTGTGTTTCATGTAATTGCATCTGTGACAGGAAAGAATGTTCGCTTTGCTGTGCCTTTACTTTTTGTATCTGTGTGTCCAGTTAAGTCAACAGGTTTTGGAATTGTTTCAAACATGTCGACAACAGGCTTCAGATTTGGACAGAAAAGAACTTTGCAGAGCACAACTCCAGAGAGAAATTCAGCTAATTTTTCCACGTATGTTTTGAATTTGATTACTTAATATCAGTTTGCATGTTCTTCAAGTTTGTGATTCTTCCTTCCTCTCAAACTGTGGTATGTCACATCATGTTTACTTTTTGTTACACTTCTATTACAGTGAGCAGGCTTTTTTTGGTTGGATCCTCACTGAATGGATTTGGCACTCGTACAAGTGATGGTGATTTGTGCCTGGTGGTTAAAGAAGAACCAGTAAGTAATTTAAAACATACCTAGTTAAAACCAAGTCTGGTTTTATGTGCATGCTGTTAAAATACCGGATCCTGAAATGATTAAACAAATGCTCAAATCTCTTTGATTTAATAACATAGTTTTGCACTCATAATAGCTACAAACTATGAGCCCAGTAATATTGCATATTGAGTATGGATTCTTCTGTCTGGCATTTACTGTCATAAACCTATATATAGGCCATAGAACATGTTGGTGTTCATGTTCATGTATTATTCTGAGAAGTAATTTCATTTTAAAAGCAAAGCATGCTTACTTTGAACATTTAAATGAGAGATAACAACTTTTTTCATGAATTTTAATACCATATTTCAGGTGAATCAGAAGACTGAAGCAAGGCGTATACTCAGCTTAGTCCAAAAACTCTTCAGTACTAAACTTTGTAAGTTACCGTCTAGAGTGAGGTGGTAAGAATATTGGCAGTTCTGGAAGAAGTGTTGATGCTCAATTGCAACTAATGTATGTAATTGTGTCTTTTCTAGATTCTAATCACAGTACTCTTTGAAGAAAAGCTTCAAAGATATATTTAGTAATGTTACCTAATGCTGATGAATCGTAATTAGAAAATGGTAATAAGAAAAACAACAGTTTATTTTGGAAACTAGTGGACTTCAATCATGAGTTCTATCTCAGATGACTTTTGAGTTGTGGAACACAATGAGAAGGGAGTAGATTTCTGTTTGGGAAACTTCTATTAGTGAACTCTTGTTAATATCTTAGATTGCAGTGTCTTTCTGGGAAAAATACACTTAAGAATTTGTAAAATAAGATGTCACTCACAGTAGACAGTGTAGAATTGATTTTTTTCTTTTGAGATATAATTAACTTAAGTGCCTAATGAAGAAAGTAATAAACATTGACAAATCACCACATACAGATGTTACATGTCAATTCATAGTTTCTATAGCTTATTGTTTAGACTCCCTTCAGATTAAGAATTCACATGGGCAGTTCTTGACTTAAATATGAAAGCCTTCTACTTCACAGGTGCTTTTGTATCATCGTTTGAATTATAAAATACCCTGACATTTGTTGATATCAATGACATGATCACCCTGCTTCCCAGACTTGTGATAGATTCTTTGATGCTACTCCTTACAGTGATGTTCTGAACAGTCCTGCAGTGCTAGAAGAAACATACCATAAATTTAAAGGCAGACTTCAAAACTTCTTCATTGGCATGCATGCATGCACAGATTTTAATAGCTCATGTGGAAGAAATACGTGATACATCTGTTGCTGAATAGGCATCTGATATTTAATGCTTATTACTACTGATTATTTACCTTTGCACAAATCTGAAAATTAATCTGGGTTTGTCTGTGGCACTGCTCTCTCCAGTGCTTTCTGATAGCACAGTGATAAAATAGGTGTGTTTCCAGGGATCAAGAAGCTTCTAAATGAGCAATCTTTTTCAAGAGCTCTTGTTCTGTGATAAAGTGTTGGACACAATCAAGTTTGTTTACCAGTATCAGAAAGTTATAATGGTCATGTGGAAGTGATCCCCAAAGGTATTTGTGCCTTTAACCGTTTTTACTGCTTTCAATTCTCTGATACCTTGCAAGTGCATTTGGTCAGCTTGATTTAATCAAAATATTCTATGGAAGGTAAGGCAGGAGAAAGCACTGCTGAGATTACCACTCCTATCAGGTGCTCTTAGTTGTGGTATGTAGACCTCTTATACTTATCAATCTGTCCTCTGTCTATGTATGGATGTTTTGTGGATAGAACTAACAGACAAAAGTTGGTTGAATAAATGTTCAAAACCAAAAGGCTTTGGTACATGGGTCTTTCCACTCAGATTTAGCTAATTTACAAGCTGTAGCTCAAGTATGCCAAGGTTTAGTACTTCTGGAACAAGACGTGTCCTGGTTTCAGGTGACATAGTTAATTTTCTACTTAGTACCTGGTACAGTGATGTGGTTTGGATTTAATACGAGAATAATGTTGGTCACACCCTGAAGTTTTAGTTGTTGCTCAGTAGTAGTTCTATCTGTGCCTCTCACTACATCTCCTACTTTATTCTTGCACTCTGCAGTGTTCCTGTGCATTGCAGTATAAAGACAGTAAGAGTGAGTGTGATTCTGTCCTTATTTTGTCTTAATTTTGTGATGGATAAGTGAAGAAGCATTCCAAGTGCAAATTAGATCAGTCCCTTTGACAGTTGGTTTTGTCTTCAGAACTTTAAGTGCCATCTCTTTTATCTTTCATATAGAGTTGAATGTGGTTATTAGATTAGGAGGTTTGGGAAGTGGATTCAAAATTTGTATAAGCTCTAGCTTATTTCAGTGGCAGGTTTGTAAAAGGTAACAAGTGTGAGCAAGGAGTTTTAGTCCATCAGATTCTAAGTCTTATAGCAGGGGCTTTTCTGTGTTGTCATTCTGCATCCAGAATACCAGCGGAAATGAAAATGTGTTCTGCCTTTGAATAGTCTAATCACAGAGAAAAGTGGGAAAAAGCTTCCGATATTTTCTTCATTGTTTTTGTGGGGTGTGTTAATCTTAAAGTTATGTATTGTGTTTCTCCTAGAGAAGAGAGACGTAGAGATAGCAAATATATAATCCATATCAAAGACTAACTGATCACGTATTCTGTCTTGGTTTATTTGCTCAGATACCTGGAAATGTATTTTTTTACAAATTTGGCTGACTTTCCCAGAACTGTGTGCTGAAGTCAATGTCTTTAGAAACGTGAGGCTTTAATTTGCAATGATAACTCAAGAGGTTATATCTAAACCACTGAAAGTAAATGTCAGAGTGATTCCTCACTTCATATTCATCTGTGCAGGATTCCTTTGAAAAATACCTTATTATATTCTTTTTTGCTAAGCTAAAAGGATGTTCATGACTTTTTCATAGAAATGCCCAAAACTGTGGAGCAACTGTATAGGTAGATTTCTTTTCACGAATCTTGGTGTAGCCTCTCTACTCATAATTTTAATGTCACATAATCGGTTTATTAAGGCACTTATTCAACCTGTATGCATTTCAGAATTCCTCATCCTGTATTTGTGACTGTTTCTTCCCCTGTATGTATACATAAGGTACAATAGAGATTCTGCTAAGAGCATCATTGGTCTGGGCCAAGAAAGATGATACCAGCAGGAAATTACTGCCTTCTGACTTCCTCTAATTTCTTCCATCTTCCTCCTTGTTTTTTTACTGCCTTGTGAACAAGAGTGGGATTATGTTTTGAGCTGTATTTTTTTTCTTAGCCAACTAATTTGACACAAGTGTCCATCAAGTGTAGAGAGGCATTTGCAAAAAAGGATGTGTTTGGAAGTGGATTGTCATGACTGAGTTCAGTTAACTTCAGAAGATCATTGGGAAGGGTCATAGTGAAGAAAGTTGAATTGCTATGGCATACAGATGGACATCTACTGCTGCCTACCATGTGTTATGCATTGGGAGTCTTTATCTTAAATTTGGTAGTGAACGGAGAGGAGGCAGAGAGCTCTGCATGCTTTAGACTTTCACTTCTAAAATGTTGTGGGATGCTGGAGGAGAGATACCTGGATGTGTCTGAAGGTGCAACTAGAAGGACGGATGCTTTTGTTGGTTTAGCAGACAGTGAACATGAATTGAAGTTGTTCAGTTAAGATTCTCCCATTAACATCAGTGAATTGGTAAGATTATCTTTTATTCTGAGTGCTGGTCTGTGTGTTGCTTAGACTTGTGCAATGTATTAAAATCCAGATAAAAGATTGCCAGGTCAAATCTGTCTGAACATGCATATCCACAAAACAGTTTCAGAAAGTCTCAAAAAAAATGTTTGTTTTAATTGAGTATTGCACAGCACTGTTCCACTAAATCTGAATTTGTCATCCAAAAGCAATGGAGATGATGCTGTTTAATCAAGGTAGCTATTCAGCTGATAGAAGTGCCTTCTTGCTTTTTCTGGAGGGAAAGAAAAAAATCAGATTTTATTCAAGGTTATTTTTAGTCTGTACTACTTGCACTGTGCATGCTTATTTATGCAAATCTGAGGTTAATTTATAGAAACAATGGGAAAATATATGATGTTGGATATGGGGAAATTCAAGTGGTTCTAGATTGGGCAACAGAAGTAATTACTAAAATCACCTTTTGCCCAAATTCATATCATGTAGCCTACAGGCTTTACTTTTCTTTATTTTCCATTACTTTATTGGGATTTTCAGGATTATGGGAAACTACTGAATATAGGCTGAATTGTCGTGAAGTCTAGGGAAATCACAACAATATGCAACAGTTTTGGGGAGCTGATTGTGGAGACTGCATTTGGTGGCCCTATGTGAGTGGCTGAGATTCGTATATGTGAGTTTGGATGGTCTGACATTGAGCTTGTATGTCTATTCTGTGTAGGTAATCGTCTGATAATCATCATCAATGTGGATTTATTGCATGTCCTATCACTATTAAAGCAAAGGCAGATAAGGCTTATCCCATCTTTGATAGAAAACGTTGTCCTGTTTTCAGTAGCATTTCCTGGGATGTACTTTATCATTTAGATGAACAGTTTTCAAAACAAGTTTTAAGCTTATCATTAGACCATCCTAATTGGATATCTTCTAGCTCCTTTGTTTTTGTACCTTAATTATAACTATTCAGGATTTGTATTACAAGTACTGTTCCATGAAAGCATTGTAGTACTGCATTCCTTATGTTCAAATTTCTGGAATATATATTTCCCTCAGAAAAGTCTACTCTATGTTCTACTTACTTCTTCTCTAACGTTTAGTGTGGGGAGTGTTTCGCCTGCTTTCCTAGGTTGTTTTTTTCTTATGGTTGATAAAGGTTAATTAGTTTAGCACAACCCTGCTAACTTTAATAAGCTACAATTTACTATAAATTAGTCTATAAGATTCTATTACATGATCTTTTATTAAGATCTGCGTCTTACATGAAACTTAATTGCATATTTTTCTCCCTTTCAGCAAGCTACATTGAGCGACCTCAGCTAATAAGAGCAAAAGTGCCAATAGTGAAATTCAGGGATAAAGTCAGGCAAGTATTCTGTTCAGCCTAATCTTTTCAACTTTGGCATGGGAAAGTTTTCTGTATGTGTACTGCCCTTAGGAGTAGTCCCACCGTTTTTTGACAGAAAAACAGTGCTAGGAAGAAATCTGTTGTGAAATATAATTTTCCTTGCTGTGCAGGCACAGCTGTTGAGCTCTACAAACAACTCTGAAACAAACTAGTTTGTGGTGATATTTTGTTGTATTCTTTGTATATTCATTATGAGAATAATTTAGAGGGACATACTAGGGCAGGTAATGATGCATTTCTTATTGTGTGTGATAAAAGTATCTGACAGAGGAAAAAGTCGTGCGAACACTGAAATATGTTGGCAGTCTGAGTAATGTTCACATCTTCCTGTGTTCATTGGTTTAGTTTTGTAACACTGATATGTATCAGTTTCATATAGTAACATAGTTTCATCCTTCTTTGTAAATTGGATTTTGAACAACTTTAATGTAGCTGTCCTAATCAGTCTGTATGGTCCTAAAATTTTGCAACCCTGTCTCTGTCTTTTAATAACAAATAAGCATACTTTTCTGGCCTCTCCCTATGAAAGCATATCACAACCTGGTTTTATTGTGATATAACTTTATAATGGTTAAGTTCCTGCCCTGATAAAACTAAATCTGTCATGTTTACAATTTGACCTAATCTATATCATCAGTTTAACATTTTGCTTCATCTGAGACTATACATTTGTTGGGGTATACTTTTTTCTTAAATTACACCCAATCCCATATTTACTTGAGTATAATTGCCTACCTTCTTTTAAAAATTTGAATGATTTTCAATTTCAATTTTTTCAATTTTTTCCCTCTTCTAACAGTACAGAAGGTTACTTCTTCCATTCTTCCTGAAAGTATGGTAGTGGTCAAGCTAAAATTTGGGTTATTTGGATTAGCTACACATAGAAATGCTCACCTTTTCTTATATAAATGAAATGATAAATTCCTGGTGCCAATATTGAATGAGTTGTGGGATTAAAGCAAGAACTTTTTTTTTCAATTTAAAATGAGAAAATAAACTTGAAAAAGAAACCTTTAATATGGAACTGGATGGACGTGATCGTGTTAGAAGATTGAAGTCTTTTTGTAAGCACTTTTAGTCCATAGTACAGTCACCTTCAAAAAATAAGTCATGAGAATTATATACCTTACAGATAGGATTTAAAGAACTCCTTATTTTCCAGTAAATCCAAGTATGATCTTCTGAGAGTAGAAACAGCATATTATATTTGTGCAGAGTAAAATCCAGTATTGTTCACCATCTGGTTTTCTGTATTGCTTTTGTGGAACAGAGGAGTGGCAGGGAATGTCATCATTTTGGGTTGGGATTTTTTTTTATTATAGTTCGTTTTTATTTTGTTTTCTGTCTTTACAGTTATCGTTCTGTTAGGTAACCTGTCACCTCTATCCATGTTTTGTCTTTTTATTTAAGCATTTGTCTCTTTCCAGTCTCTTACTGGCCTATTATCCTTTGTAGGCTCAGATGTACAAAAAATGGATACTCATGCATTTTTTCACAGAGGTCTTGAAAAATGGATTAGATATCCTGTATCCTGGGCACTAAGCCCATCTTTGCCAAAATTGGAAACTCACCTTTACAAACTTCCTGTGAAAGCTAGTTTTTTGATGCCCAGCTGCTGGGAGAAGGTGGTTGAATTCAATGCGTGTTATCCCTGTATCTGGAGATGCACATTCTAGTATGTTACCAATAACTGAAATATATATATATATATATATTTCATATATAACTGAAAATGCTGTTTACCCTTACTTTGATTCAGTGAATGAAAAAGCATTCAGTTTGTATTTGTTCTCTTTTATAACCTTTAAACTTGGGGGTTTATAGTGCTGTAAAAGTAAGAGAAGATCCACTGCACTTAAAGACTTACCATCCTTTTTTTTTGGTAGTCTTTCCCAGGAAGTTATTCTAAGGCTGGTTCTGCTTCCCAGCAAGACTTTAATCAGTTATCAAGATCTTTATACTCCACTAGATACAAAAGCTTCCACTTCTGCTACAATTGATGTGCAGTTGACTCTTTTCCTCTCCTTTAGTGCGTTTTAGTAGAACTTGAGTCCAAGCAGTGCAAAATCTTTTTCACGTGCCACCACTGCAGCAGCTATTGAACATGCATAGTAAACATGCAATAGAACTTATTTCAATCAGCATCTGGTAAATAGTCTTCTTGACAATTTGGATTAATTGGAATTACACATGCAATCTGAATTTTTTTATTATAATTGCACATACAGTTAATATTCTTATGGGAGTTCATGCTTATATTTACAACTGTGAAATGGTAGATGAAGCTTGTTTATTTCCTGTACTGTTATGTACTATATTCTTAAAACATACAAAAGGATATGCTTGATACTAGCTCAAGTTTAAAATTATGCAGTAGTTCTGATGCAAAAAATGTTTTGATGTAAAAAGTGTATAAAAAATGTAATAAATGTAAAATGTTCAAAATACACAAAACATCTATTGTAGGCCTCAAATTATTATCTTTTATCAAATTTAATGAATTTCAGGTCCATGTTCCCCTTATACAGTCAAGAAAATCCAAAGAAGTATTCGGTTAACAAATACTATGTGAATGAAACTTGTGCATGTAAAATGACAATACCTGTATATCACAGATAGCTATTTCTTTGTCTAGTAACAAACTCTTCTTGTTGCAAGTTAATGTTAATATGGCTTATTGACCATGAATGCAATATAATTTCTTGAGTTTTTTGATTAATTAGGCTCTATGTGCAGTAGGAAATTCAAACTTGGGGGCAGGTTGTGTTGTAAATAAAGCAGTTAGTGCTTGTTTGCCTTATTTAATCCTAGCAGAATGAAAAGTATCTAAACTATTTTATTACAAAACATGCAGTGTTTACTCAGATTTGGTTTTTATTCCAAAGTACTGATTCTCTCTTACTGTCATTGCAAAAATGACTCTTACATTCTCACCTCTTCCAGTTCTCTTTCTGAGTTCATTAGCATAATTTCATAAACTAATACCTCAGAAAATCCTTCCTGGCATCAAAAGTTATCTGTAGTAAATCATGTAGTGCAAGTGTAGTTGGGAGAAAGATTTGGTAAAAATTTTAACAGGTATCTTAAGTTATCTTTAAGTCTAAATTTGTATCTACATGTATTCTTCATGTAAAACAACAATAACAGTTTTATAACAAAGGAGTTTAAGTCTATAAGTGGCTCAGGTGCTATAAACAATACTATAGGAATCTCAGCATTTAAAACTCTGAAGAAAGTTTCTAGGGCTTTATATTTAACTTACATTTCTCTATATCTGTCATAAAGTAAGTAATAAACATTCAGAAATTTAATACCATGATGCTTGATTTTTTTTTCCTCCCTAATAGCAATGTGGATTTCGACTTGAATGTAAACAATGTGATAGGTATAAGAAATACATTCCTTCTGAGAACCTATGCATTCAGTAAGTTTTTATTTTAAAATTTTCTTATTTCTTTAAACTTTGCTTTTAGAGTTTGTATTTTGGTATTGATATACTATGAAAATGTAATAGATTACTATATATAGATAATTACCTATTTAGGTACATTAAGTAGCTTTAAGATAAGTTCTTGTTGCTCATTCTAAATGCATGGAGAAAACAGCTGGGTATGTTTTTAATTGAATATTATTCGGATGATAACAAAGATTCTTCATATTAAGGTCCATGTACCTACTACAAGGGCTGCTTCAGGTGTTCTGCAGATGATAAGATCATGTTAGTAATGGTTATCAAATGGTATAGTCTCCAGCTTCTTTTATTTCCTTTCAGCCAGTGACAGTATGCATGGCTAATAGCCAGTTATGTCTGTATGCTGTTGCAGTCTTTCCTTGGAAAATCCAAAATACTGCTTCATTATTTATACTAATCCCAAATCAAAATTGGTTTGTTTCTGCTCAAGAGTTTGCATTCTAGGGACAGATTGTGAAACAACCTTGTGAAAGGAAAGTAATAACAACAGCACTTTTAGTGGTAAACTAAGGGTTTCTCTCTTAGCATTGCAATGCCATTTTTGCAGATAAGTACATAGAGGAGTGTTCCTCAGCTTTTTTCTTCTAGGGCATTTGTTTCTTTACTACCTCCTTCAGTTTTTGCATAAAGGAATTTCTTTCTATTTAGGGTCGGCTGTTACCAATAGAAGCTACCTTCATTAGTTAATTTTTACTAATATTTCAGTTAGAGTAGTTTGTTTTCCATATTCATGTTAATAGGAGAGTCTACAGCTTGTCCTGGATCAGTTGATTAAGTGTGATTTCTTCATACATTCAGGAAGGTGAATGACTGCAAAAGAATTTGCTTCCAAATATAAAAATATTAGGAAGCAGTAATGTCACTTATGACTGCGGATAAGTAGTCACTTCACAAAGTCTAATGTTGATACATTTATTTGTAGTTTCTGTCACAGATTCTTTATTCTTCTCAGAAAAATCACTGTAGGGCAGACAAATACAGGTGTGAAAAGAGCAGTGGAAGCAGTCCTAGTGTCCCATGTTTTCTTCTGTTCTGCTGTAGCATTCACTTTTATAAGGCCACTAAAATTAACTTCAGGTTTCCTGGTGAAGGTTAAATAATGTTTCCTTGAGGTCAAGGAGTGAATTAGTAGTGAAGGGAGACTTGTGATTGAAAATATTGCCTTCTCAATGTTCTGGGCCTTGCTAAATAGTCAAACTGTATCATACATCTTGTCCGTCTTGTCTTCCTTGGAGAAGAAAACTCTTGCTTTGTGACATAAGGCACACAAAACTAAATTGAAGCTTTTATCAGACTGTGTCTCTCCATACTTTTATAAGTCATATGAGCAAAGGTGGATAGTCTTACATGTATTCTCCTGCTCACTTAAATGTGTAGTTGAAGGGCTTCAACCTGCATGGGGGAAAAAAAATCTTGAATTACCTCTAATGTGGAAGATGTATTGTCTGTTTTCCATTGGAATAAATCAGATGCTCAGGCTAACAAGGGACTAACTATCTTAGTGAACATGATAAAAAAGCTAAAACTCAAAAAATATCTCTGGATGCTCTTGTGCGTTGGTGCATAAGTGCTCTAGAAAACATCGAGGATGATGAGGCAAGGAAACACAAAATGTCCACAATAAATGTAGGTAGATTAGGCAGAGTTAGAAGATGAAGTCTATGCTGTTACATTACCAGCAGTTTGTTGAAGGGAGCATGTCTGTGATTAATCAGCAATTTTTGCTAGCTGTTTTTCAGTTAGTGAAAGCTGGACTTTATAGCTTTGGGCAAATAACATTAGTGAGCATTTTCTTGAGGGGTAGCTTGAATCGAAGTATCAGACAAAGTTTACTGGCCGTATTGCACACTAAGTTCGTTATACACTAATTAAAGGGACCAGCAGGCAGAATTTAATATCTCAAAATGAGGTCAACTAAAAAAAGGTCTTTTCTACTGTGACACAAAATAGCTATGCTTGAAACTGGAAATATTTGCATTTTTCTCTCATGAAAAAATTCTATTCCAATTAATGCATCTTCATGTGGTGTCTGTACAGTACTTTTTTGGCATCTCACAATTAGTGTACTTAGTTCTATTTTTCAGTTCAACCACTGGTGAACAATGTCAGGAATAAGGTGATCAGTGATAAGGAGTTTAGTTGTTTCCAAAAGGTCTTCCAGATCTAGTAGGACATTCATTCTGAGAAGAGTACCACTTAGATGGACATGTATGCTGAACAACTCTGAATATGTTGTGAGAAAATCACACTTGACAGTTTTATAGAATAACAGAGAGCACCCAGCTTTGCAGTTGTAGGATGTCTTTTGTCCTTGTGTCCTGATAAGCAGAATACAAAATTTTGTATAATGATGTCAGGTTAGAAAGATACTCCAGAATGTTTAAGCCTTTAAGGCACTTGACTGAATTGATGATCTGCTTCTGCATACCAGTCCCAGGAGTTTGTGGTGGGTGATGTCTGCCTACAATAGATTGATACCTTAATTAGAAGGTTATCTATATTTACCAGAAATTCAGAAGACCATACCTGGAATATGGCTGTATTTATGTCTTTCCTCATGAAATGCATATATATCAATTTAAAGAGACACTGCATCTAACATGTCATCTACATAAAAAGCTATTGAGGACAAGGCAAATTTAAAATTTATGGTTGCATGCAGGGTTTACTGTTCTCATGTATCCTGACGTAAACTTAAGAATCAGCTATGTCTTCCAGCCACAAGAATTGTTTTCCCTGCCTTCGAAGTTTGTATGGCCTAAATAAAAAAATTACGTAGGGTCTGTCCTGGCAGCAAGTTATTTCAGAGAAAATTTGTGTAATGAACTGGAGAGACCTTAGAAGCAGAAAATGATGCTTTGCAAATCCTTGTGTACCTCTTGTAATGTGTCTGTGGATCTTACTACTCAAAAGACTGTTTTCAAATGCGAATATTTTGTTTTGATTTTTATAGAGTAATTGTAGAAAAACTAAGTAAATTCTATTAAATGCCTGCAGAAAGTAACCTTAGAATACAAAACTACTGTGTTGATCAAGTAAGAGCAAATGTTGATTAATTGCTGTCTAGTTAAATGTACTTTTTTGAGATGTGTTTATTTTACTTGCAGTTGAGAATCGAGTTCGTCCATTAGTACTTGTTGTTAAGAAGTGGGCAAGTTTTCATGAGATAAATGATGCCAGTCGTGGTACTTTAAACAGCTATAGTCTTGTGTTGATGGTTTTGCACTATTTACAGAGTAAGTATTTTATACATGTTGAAACTGTCCGTCTTAAGTTCATATTTGTGTAGTTTTCCTCTTTAATGAAATGAAACAAGCAGTAATCATATTCTATGCAGAAATATTTAAAAGTAAAGCAAGTTTACTCAATTTCCTTAGTGTTGCATTTGTCTTTAACAAGTGGACCTGTTCTTTGGAGGCAGTTACCAGCTGTAAAAAGGTTTGAAAAAAACCTGTAGCTACAGGACACTGCGTAGCTATAAAATAAACTCAAGTACTAGTTCACAAAAATACATAAGGATATTTACTTTAGTCATTTCTGGCAGTTGTAGACACCCTGCCACAGCTGTCTAGGAAAGGGAAAAAAAGCATTCAAATAATCCTATTCATGAAAAACTGTGCTCAGTCAGCTGTCTTGGGAAGATCAGCAATCCACAAACCAAAGAGGAGCCTTCTGCCTGTGTTTCCTCTGCCTTTTCTGTTGGGGGGGAGAAAAACGCATGAAAAAAGCACCTGAGGCGTGGCCCTCTAGACTGTACATGCATCTAAAGCACCAGATTTTTAGGTTCTGATATTTTATTCATGCAGATTTTTTAGGTTTTTTTCCCTGCTATATTCATGTGATGTTCCTGAAAATAGTCTGTGTCCTAGAACTTCTAATAGTGTTTTTGTTGATGATACTGTGGAGGGAAAAAAAGAACACCTTTCTTTTCCACTACTGTCCCTGCCTTGACTAGGCAAATATATTTCTATACTGCTTAAATAATTTCCATATTTTTATACTAATGTGAATGTCTTTGGACCCAAGTTTAGTATAGCTTGAGTTTATTTTGTAGATACCTCGGTATCTTGCACATGAACTTTCTTCCAGATAAAATATCTAAGTAGCTTGAACAGTGAGAAATGGAAACTCATAGGGCAAATGCTAGTGATAAGTGGAAATTTTTCCCTTCCCATCCATCCTCTTACTAAAGCATACACACCTAGATACAATACCTTGATTGTTTGTATTGCTCAGATTTTATTGCCTTTTAATTTAGTATGGTAGACAACTGGAAAGTATCCACGATGTTGCAGAAACATGAACACCCACAAACAAAATAAAAGTGTTATTAAAGCAGCTGTAATAATTTTCTTATCAGTCCTGATAGTATATTCTACTTTTTGAAGATACCCCAATCACGTTCTGAGAATTCTGCTGTTCTTATTCTTAATCCCTATGGAAAAAGGATTCTGTAACATCTCTTCACCTGTAAGACCTTCTTGAAGGGTGAACTACGTCCCAAGTCCAAGACTTATGTACTGAATTTATTTATTATTTTCCCTAGTGAATTATGTAGACCAATTTCTTAAACCATGCTGAAGATATGATGCTAAAGCTTTAGTTTGAGGAGTGCTGTGACAGTTTTATAGCTGTTTGAGTAGGACGTGAATACTTCAACATTTTGGTCCATCTATACACCTAATCTGGGTGATTTTTTTTTTTTTTTTTGTCTCGGATTTATATAGTTCAGTAGGTGCACTCCCAATCCATGGTTTTCATAAAAGTGACCAATATTTAGATAACTTTGTGTTTGTTAGTATTGTTAATGACAACATGATCTTCATAACACGTTTGCCATTTAGCAGACCAGCTAACGCTATTAGTCTGCATTTATGTATTTTATGGGGATTTTGCTAGTAATACCTACTAACTGTGCTGAGTGTTTTACAAATAGATTACATTTGGAGATTCAATATGTAATACTTGGCAGTGGAAAAATGTGTTCTCTTGCAGTAACTGTAGACTTCTTCATAGAATTGTAGTAGATGTAAGGAAACAAGGTGAGTGAAGCTCTAGTTTTTCATTTAGGGAATCTAGTTGATTTTCTTATAGACATGAATTAATATGAATTTCAGAAATAAAAGTGTGAAATAAAAGCCCAATTGCTAGAATTTTTCAATGCCTTTAACTATATACATATATACTACTGTATAAAATGTAATAATAGAAATGTTTGCCAAATAACTTACTTTATGAAATGCATGAAGGTAAAGTTCTGATAAATGTTTTTAAGATAGAATTTCAATGCAACTCTTTGATATAGTGCTTATGATATTGCTTCCTGTGTATTACATGAATCACAGCAACTTTAAACTTTTTTTTTATAGCCTTACCTGAACCCATCCTTCCATCCCTCCAAAAAAATTACCCAGTAAGTGTTTCTTATTGATTTACTACCTCATATATGTTTGTGACCCTGCTTATCTAAATATATGAATTCTTAACTATCTCTGATGGATTAAGTTGAATTAACAGTCTGTAGGTCAGGTCATTGATATAATATACCTAAGTGTGGAAGAGATTATTTGCTGCTTTTACAAATTTCTTTAATGAAAATTCTGTTCTGTGTGGGAAGATTTGACACATAGTTAGAAGAAAGTGATGAAAACCACCGTCCTAATTCTCTTCATGCTGGCCTGGAAATATCCCTGTGTCAGCTGTAACTTTCTGGTTCCTATTTCTTAATACGTTAAGTAGTGCTTTTTCATCCAGCTCTGGTGCTTCAGAATTCCATACTGTCCCACAGCTGTTGAGTTGCCTGCTATTTCCATGTGCAGAAAGTGAGTGATACATGTTGTCTTGGTTTAATTTTGATTTCCTGGCCAATGCACCAAATTAATGTCTCCGTTTTGAGTTTCCAATTTAAATAAACTTACTTTTCCTGTTGTGAGACAGAACCAGGAGCAAAAGAGCAAGGCAGGCCTAAAACTTGAGAGAGTATAAAAGAAAATTTATTAACTACACAAACAAAGAGAAAGGAAAAGAAAAAAAAAAGTCAGAATAAGATTTTCAGATCACTCCTTCCCTCCTTCTCCCAATCTTCATAACAACAAAACAAACATATAACAAATACTTCGGTCAGTCCCCAGTTTAGTCTTTCTCAGTTTACTTCTGGAGAGAGAAGCCTCTTCTTGTTGAAGCTGTAGGGATTTTTCCACAAGAAGGAAGAAAACAGTCCTCTTGTGGTTTTATCTTTCATGATTTGCATCCGCCCGGGATCCTGCAATCGTGACACTCCTCCCAACTCTACAGCTGTCCCAAGGCTGTAGGTGTGGTCCATGTCTGTCTCATGGGGTATTAATTTTAAGAATGAAATGTTCGACAGCAAAGATTCTCTTTGTCTCCTTTCTCTCTGCTCAGGCTTCATCTTCAGAAAACCAAAATCCCCTCTTTTCTCAGGCCAGAAATTCTCAACACAGGTGCTCTTTAGTCAAATTATCTATTAAATGGAACATTTCCATCCCCCCATGTCTCTTTCCATGGTTTATAGGAATATTCAGTACATTAGTTCATCCCTACAATTTTACAAAAAGATTTTTCAGCCATTTCAGCATCTTCTCATTCTCCTTCCATTTTAAAAACTTAGCTCTTATGTCACTGACTTCAGAAATCTTCTTATTCCCTTTCATATTCAAAGGAAAGGCTGGAGGCTTTGCAAATCTTATCTGAGTACTAAAGAGTTAAAGTTTAACACAACTACAAGAGTTGGGCCAGGCTCAGGCCGTGCTGGGGGTGCAGCTGAGGTGTCAGTCAGCCTTTCTGGGGCTGGGCTGCAGCCCCACATTGCCCATGGCCACCCGGGCAGGCCCGGCCCGGCCGGCAGCAGCAAGAGTCGGCCTCCCCGCCCGCCAGAGCCGCAGGCCCGTGGAGGAGGAAGCTGTGAAGGTTTTATCACACAACTTTTTCTCCTCCCGGCCATCGGGTCCCCCTCGTTGGCAAACGGGGCCCAAGCGGCCTCCCGAGCCTCCCCCCCGGCACGGGGGAGGGAGAAGCTCGGGTTGGTGTTACCTGCTCAGCTGCCGGAAAGACAAAGAGACTCAGTTCCGGATTACCTTCCTCAAAATGTGTGTGCACAGAGCAAACTAACTTTCTCTAATTGGCTGTTGCAGGTGTCCCAACCCCCACAGAGGAAATTCTCTTAGAGAAAATTTCTCTCTATGAGTTTCTTCTTCCTAAGTCAGCCTATCACACATGTTTACTAAGGAAACTTGAACATCACAAACTTTTAATTCAGTCCAACAAGAAAACACCTTTTTGGAACTTAGCTATTGTAGTCAGACCATACTCATTTCTGGAGAACTCAATGAATCAGTATGCTTTTGTCTCTCCAGAATTTGGAGTGTTATTAGTGAGATTTAATCTAAGAAAAATTATCTAGACGTAACAACTGCCCTCCTAAATATTTGTCTATGCATAAAAGTGCTATTGCTGAAAAAATTCCTTGGTTCCTTCCTCCTTACCTGTCTCATATGTGTCACTTAAAATTTTTCTTTATTCATAGTTAATGTAGTTTGGTGTTCCTGTCTACATATGGGGGGCTTTTAATTGGTTGCTGATAATTATGCTGAGCTAGTATCAGAAAGCCATTCTGTCTTTTGCCATATTTCCCATAATGCTGAAATGGAAATATTTAATGGTGTTGAATATCAGGGAGAAAATACTGTGGTGTCAGCCATTTTGAGTAATTAAGATAATTGAGATGCAGAAGAAAGAATTGAGAAATAATTCACTGCAGTTTTATTTCTGTGTTGTAAATCTGCTTAGGGATACCTGTGCTATATTTTTATAGCCTTTATATTTTCCTGTGACTTTTTTTATGGTACTCTATACCTTCTAGTTTCTTTACTGGGAGTACTGAAAAGCCTTTGAAGCTATCTTTCATTTCTTGTCCACTTATCTTTATCTGATAGGTTTTTGAATTGCTGGATTTGGTAATTACATTTCCTTAAAGCTTATGTGCTGTAATGTTCTAAGTCTTGTGTAGCATGTTATTTAGAGAAAAGTGTAAAGAACTGGCAGCTTATGACTCTTCTGTATTTTTAATACGGACACATTTGTCCTGTTTGAACTGTGTAGAGGCCGTCAGAACACCATACAAATGTTAATACCTTCAGTCATTAAAGCCAACATATACAGTACCTTAAGCTGTAAAACCTAATGGGTCTAAATGCAAAGTTTTATCTTGTGTTGTGTGAAAATGGTAACATGCAGGTGAGCACTGCTGTAGGAATTGCATTTTTACCCTGTTCTGATATAGATTATATTTGGTTTTGTTGTTCTTTGTTTGTTTGTTACCTTATATTTGGAGAATGGGCAAAATATTCTAGAATTTCTAACAAATTTTAAATAATATTTTATACATGCTTACTACAAAACCAAATTGCAAGTATGTTTTTGATCTACTATCTCCACTAGGTAGATAATAAAATATTTTAAAATGACGAAAATTAAAATTTCTGAATACTGATATTTCAAAGGAATTTACAGTGAAAAATACAGCAAAACAATTTTGGTCTTGTGGCTTGCAGTAATAATAAAAAAAAAAAACAGGCAAATTTCAGTATCTAAAGGAACCGTATTTTTTCTCGTGATTGTAGCTGGTCAGAGTTGTGTCTCCATACAAAAACTATACAAACATCCTGCACACCTTCCCACAGTTTTTCAAAATCAAATCTGCAGCCTGAAAATAGTTCTGTGATCTGGAGGAAGCTGCTTGTCTTAAATTGTTTGTATCATATAGAAGAGACTTGCTTACATTGAGGAAACAAAAGACAGATTCTGTGTCTCATTGTATCCCTACTGCAAATGTGAGGGTTGAGAAGTCCAGGAAAGCTACCAGATTTGAACACTTTTGTATTCTATTGGGGGAGTTTCCAGTTGGCACCAAGCTGATGTGTTTTACAACCACTTATTCAGAAGGAGTATCAGACTACATCAAATGTGAGGTTGCATTCTGACTCTTCCCTTGTCCCCTAGCCAGATAAGGTAGATGACAATAGCCCACCAAGTGTGTTCATCGGTGTTGAAGTCTATATAGTACATGCTTCCATGTCAGGACTTCACAAATAAGCTCTAGAGAACCTGTGGAGGCTTAAAACAGTGTGGCTGGTGAACATTGCTGTCACTCGCACTCAGAAGGAACCTTGTGCCTGACTCTCCACTGTTCAGGAAGTCTGGTGTTTTAGCTGAAGTCTAGATGAAATTGGGTTTCCATCAGTGCTCTGGATGGTGAACTTTAAGGATTCTAGCATGAGCACATCTTTGTTCATGCTGCCTCCGCTTCATGTCATGTCTTGCAAAGGGTGGGGCAGAAGGTGGGAGGGTCCTTACCATGGGAGTCAGCCCTTGGAAAGACATAGTCTGCTTCAAACTGAGTTTCACTTTTAAATAATATAAACATGAGTTAAATATTCATCTGTCGGACTGGGGAAAAGGATATTTCATGTGTGTGAATATACAACGTTAAGACATAATGCTTATGTCACTACTAAATTTTTTTGAGCAAAGACTTGTACATTCAGAATTAAACTCACTATACATCAAGATACTTAAATATAAATTTTATTTTGATGTAGACTTGTGTTCCTTTCCAGTGTAGAAGGTGGAATGAGTATAATTAAAAGCATTAAGTAGCTTGAAGATGAAGCATGTTGCTGAATACTGGTTTTTCTTGAGAAATCACCCAATCAAGGTAAACATTAGAGATCTAGCAAAAAAAGGAAAAGTAGTTTGAGTCCCTTTTCTGGGATGGTTATCTTAAAATAGTGGAAAGCTCATTTATATTTGTTGCTCAGTCAGATCCTGAATCTAATTGCTGTCTCTTAAGACAGCTTGAGGCAAAGACAGAGTAAGCAAAATAGGGACTAGTTTTAATAGATGCTGAATCTTTTGCCTTCTAGAGCAAGTTAGGAAAAGAAAACATACTTTGAAGGGTGCCTTGTAATTCCATTTTTCTAGCAACCTCACCTATGTGTAGAATCTGTAAGGTGTACCTTGTTTCATTTGCCTAGTTATTCCCTAAGTCCCTCTAGCAGGAAGGAGAATACTGTTATCTTTGTTTTGAATCTTTGGTGAATCTTTGGTGAATGGAGATGAGTTGGAACTAGGGAATTATCATGGGTTGTCTGTGGCAAAGCAGAAAAAAGTGTTTGGGTATCCCATAGCTGGTCCGACCTCTTGTTCACTGGACACTGAGTAATTGCTTTGTTAAGGAATGACCTTAAATTACATTGTTGGTAATTGAGTTATTGACTATTGGTACATCTTGACAGAAGTCTTCACTAAATCTTGCCAATTTTAAGTAGCAGTTAATTAGGCTTTACATGTAGAACTTTCTCATAAGGTAATAGCAACTTCTTACATAACAAATTCTCTATATTTGAGAAAGATGAAACACTGGGTTTTGCTCTCTGTGGGGTGATCAGCAACTGACAGTACTTATAAAATAAATCTTCTAAGAGTATCACAAACATGTGATGAATACATTGCCTTAGTTACCCTTACTATTAATAAATCTTATTTTCTTCCAGAAAAGTAATATCAGTCTATGCCTTTTATTTTGCAATGCAAAATGTCTTTTTAAGTGCAATTTTCATAGTGACATAACCACTAAACCAAGTGGAAATGAGAATTACTTCTATGTGTCTCTTAAACTAGGTAGTGGGGGTTTTAATGGTTAGCTGCTATAGACTGCAACCTGTGTTTTTACTAGAGCGCATGTGTACAGTAATATACATGTATTTTCTTGAAAGCAAAAGCTTTTCTGGGTAAGATAAACTTTGATTTGTCTGATGTCTTATTGCCTGCCAGTAAAACAAAAGCTTGTTTTTATGAAAAATAATAAAATAAAGTCCAACTTTTTAGTTGCTTTTTAGTTGAAGGATATCAACCTCCTGTGATGGTAGAATTTTCTTGCAGTTGAGAAGATCTCAGGCATTCAAATATTCATAGTGTAAAAAAAATTAATCTTGTTCTCCTCTTCTACTGCCTCCAAAGACTTATTAGTCTTAGTAGACATCTGTTGTAATTTTATTGCACTTTTGTTTTGTATTTTTGTAGGTCAGTGGCCCATTTTCTTCTTCCTTTCCCCTCCTCCCTTACATGTTTCTTCATCAGCTGATATACTGCTAATTCTACATTGAATTGTTCTGACTCTTCCTTAGCATTCTGTGGGGATGGGCAAGGAGTGACTTTCACTGTAGTACCTTTTTGATTCACTTTAGGGTTACACCTGTATTTACTATATGGTTTTGGAACAACTATTTTCTTTCTAGATCTTTGTACACTGCATATCTGCTTTTTATGTCTGTGTTTCCATTGTTTTGGTGTCTTCTGATGAACTATAAGCTGTTAAATTCTGAGCTTTGTGAAATAAACTAATATGTTTTATATAGCATTATGTCATATGAGATGAACCATTGAAATTTTTTAGCTCTAGTAGAATTGCTTTTTTCCCCCCAAAAGATGTTGTACAAGGTTCCAGGGAGTTTTGCTGGAGCTGGCATGAAGAGAATGGGAGACTCAAATTTTCCAGTCCTACCGGTTTTATCACTTAAGAATACTTTTCTCAGAGGAAGCAGTGCCAGCTGTGGACACAGAAATAATACTACTCTATGTAGTGCTTCTAGTGCTATTCTAGTACTATAAAGTTTGAATCGTGCCTGATACTACTCTTAAAAATAAAAAATTAATTGGTGGGTAGGGATAACGAGATATGGTAATGAGTGAACAGATTCCTAAGTTTACATAACTCTATTTCTTTATGTGAATGTTGGTCCTGTGTTCATCTTGAACTCATTTTCAGTAAAATATGCAACATTGCTGTAGAACAGCATTAAAACCAGGTATTAGCAAGTTATAAAATTTGTTCCTGTAGTGAGAGGACATATGTTTACTTCTATGTACCCCGGTCTATCAGAAGAACCTAAAGGATGCAAACAGCAGGGCAATTCTAAAACCATGTGTATTTAGCCTTGTATATATTCCTTTTTAACCTGGCAATAGTGCCTTCTATTCATAGCAAGCTTGATCTTTTTCTTACCCCGTCGTACTAACCCTCTTCCCCTACAGAAAACATACTTCAGCTGAAGTGCAGCATTCTGTGTATTCAGGTGTTTGTATGACTTCACAGCTGGTTGGTTTTTTGGTTTGTTTTTTTTTCGTTCTTGGTTAGAGGAAGTAATACCTGCAGTCATTATGCTTATTTTGTGGTGAATGCAGGTTCATTTTATAGCCAGTGGGTTTCAAATGCATTTTTAAACTGTGTTTGGGAACAATGTTAGGCCTTCCTTCTGGATCATTTCTGTACTTCAGTTCTGCTGTGGGAAATTGACAATCGGTGCTTTAACTTCACCTATGTATTTCTCAGCTGAACTGCAGTCAGCTCAGTGCAGGCTGCCTTAGTTTTTGCTCTTGGGGTTTTAGATACAAGTCTTGTTCGAAGGTTCTCCCATGTTAAAATTCTTCAGTAAACAGAAGTCAAGAGATGGTCTTGTATCCTCCTGTGCAAGATTGTTCAAGGGGAGTAACTAGTATTCAGTGGGGTAGAAGAGAAGTAGTCTTTGGCTTGTAAGTTGTCCTTAAACTTAGACTAAGCAAACAATAGGCAGCTTTCTTATTGTGGAAAACACATGCATCTGGGTTAAGGGTCTCTGTGTGTATTTTTATATATATATATACAGTCTGATTTTATTTTGACAGGAATGTTTTGATCCTGCTATGCAGTTGCATCTTGTTCATCAAGCTCCACGTACCATTCCTCCTTACATCTCAAAAAATGGATCGAGCCTTGGAGATTTGCTAATAGGCTTCTTCAAATATTATGCCACAGAATTTGAGTAAGTAATAAGCTCATTTTAGTGGTTTAGAAGATGTGAAACTTTGATTCCTTCTACTCAATATGGCCTTTATAACCCTTGAAAGAAAGAAAAGCAGCAATACAGGAGTGGTAACTGAGAGAGAGGAAATGAGTGGAAAGTCTAAATGACAACAGGAATGCTGGTAAATTGTCTGGTATCTTCTTCGGGTGTTCTTTCCTGCCAAAAGTAAGAGAGTTAGTAAAAATAGCTGCCAAAAGTAAGAGAGTTTTGTCCTCTAAAAATTACAGTTATGCTATTCTATAACTGCCTGTTCATGTGTGAGAAAGATCTGTTCTTAGCTGTCACGTAAGGTACCAATTGTGATATGTTTTATTTGGACCTTAAGGGCTGTGCTTGTCTTTTGTCACACTGAGTCAATGGAGGCAACTGGCCACGTGGCTTCTTACTTTGACCAGAATATACATCTGTACAGGCCTCACCTAGTGAAGAAGTCTCCCATGTACAGTTGTTTCACTCCCATTATTAGTTTGCTAGACTCTGAGTTTAATTTTGGCATCTGGACTTCTTTATATAAGAGGACAAGCTAAAGTTGTGAAGGCATCTGAGAAGGCCTTAAGTTACAGCTGGTTTGCCAAATTGTTCGCCAATTGTGTAAAAATGCTTGCTCATATAAAATATCAAATGGTTGTATCTCAGTCAGCTGAAAGATCTTCTAAATAACTTCTGATGCAGTTATTTCATGCACATTGTTGTCTTATATATGTGCATCATCTCCATTTCTTGGAAGGAGAACAAAACATACAATTGGATACTCATAATTTTGTTAGTGTTCATCATTTACTTTAATATAAGAAGTGAAAGACCATAAAATCATTAAAGCATCTCTGGAGTGCATGTCATATCTGAAATATGTAAGCTAAGACCCTATGGCCTGTAGTAATGCATGAACCAGCTGCATTTTTGCATGCTTAAGCCTGACTGAGAGATTTTCTTGTAAGAGATTTTCTTTCAATGATCTCTGCAGATAAGAGAATGGTCTTTTGTCTTAAATGTTTCTCCTGAGTACCTGTCTTTTCATCTGACAAGGTGATGTTTGCTAAAGAGGCAAATGAGAAGACACTGCTGGAGGATAACCTTAGGTTCTTAATTTATGTGGAACACTACCTGGATTTATTACTACTCGACTGTACAGGCTGTTAATCTTTTCATATGTGAAAATAAATGTCTTTTCCACTAAGGAATTTTCTGATTTGCCTGTGTGAAGTAGCAGAGATGATCTTGTCTAATTACATGAAGAATATCTAATTTGACTTTTCTGGCTTTGGGTGCTTGTGAACATAGTCAAGACCAAATGTCAAGGGAAGAAAATATTTTAGAAAGCATCTGAATAAAAAGAATACCTGGTGTGTTCTTCTAGTGTTCACTACCTGCTAAGTATTTAAACATTTTACTTGTGATATTCTGTTTAAAAAAAGGAAAAAAATACTAGCAAAAATAGCCATTAGAATTTCCGTGTTGAAAATGCTACTGCATAGCTGAGAAGTAATTTGAGGAAATGATGCACTTAATGCAGCAGCCTATATTATTTTTAACTCTTTCTTCTATGGAAATAAATTTTCGTCAAGTGTACTGTTTATCTGTGTATCCCTGACAACTATAAATCCTGTTTGAAAAGAATAGGATTGATTGTAAAATTCCATGTAGTTTCATTGACTAGAGAAGACGAATGAGTGCACCATAGGGAGGAATACAAACATAGTGCTTAAAAGGTTTTATGTGTGTGATAGCCAGCCAGTGAAAGTAAAAGTAGTCTCATGCTAGCCACAGGATCTTTTATCTTTGCTTTGAAGTTGCTGATGGAAACAACAGCACAAATGAGAATGAAGGTAAGAATTAAATTCATAGAATCACAGAATCATAGAATATGTTTTGTTGGAAAGGACCCATCAGGATAGTTGAAATCCAGCTCCTGGCCCTGCACGGGATCATCCCTAAGGTTCACACCATGTGCCTGAGAACATTGTCCAAACACTTCTTGAACTCTGTCAGGCTGGTGCTGTGACCAGTTTGCTGGGGAGCCTGTTCCAGTGCCCAACCACCCTCTGGGTGAAAAATATTTTTCTAATATCAAAACTGAACCTCCCCTGACTCAGCTTCATGTTGTTACCTTAAGTCCTGTCATGAGAGTGAAAAGGGATCAGTGTCTGACCCCCCTCTTCCCCTCATGAGGAAGTTGCAGACCACAGTGAGGTCTCCCCAGTATCATTTTCTCCAGGCTGAACAAACTAAGTGACCTCAGCTGCTCCTCATACAGCTTCCCCTCAAGGCCCTTCATGATCCCTGTGGCCTTGCTTTGGACTCTCCAATAGCTTTATGTCTTATACTGCAGGACCCAAACCTGTCCTCAGCACTGGAGGTTAGGCTATCTCAGAGCAGAGCACAGCAGGACAATCCCCTCCCTTGCCTGGCTGCTGATGCTTTCCCTGATGCCCCCAGGACACGCTTGGCCCTCCTGGCTGCCGGGGCACTGCTGACTCACATTCAGCTTGCAAATATGCACAACACAGGGCTCTCTTAGTTCTGCCGTTCATGGAAGAACTAGTGTTAGAGTGTGTTGAATATTTTCTTTGCTGTAATATGTAGTTTTTTCACTGTTTGTTTTCCCTGTGAAACATTTACTAGTGTATTTATGCGCCAAAATTTTGAGATTCTATTTCAGAAACTGTGCTGTTGAATGAGGCTATATTTATATGATCTGTACTGAGCCACTGAACTTTCCCTATTGGACTGTCACGTTTGATGAAAAGATTGCTACAGAGAGTGTGACTTCAATTTTCATAGAAGTAATTTTGCTGAATGGCGTGCAATCAAGAATGATCAGATCAATTGCGAAGATCATAATTTTGAACAGAATAAATCACTGAAGCCACCTGCCTAGAATGTTTAACTACTGATCTATTTTACATGTAATGGTCAGGAAGATAAGAGAAGATGGAGATATTTGTTTTAAACTTCTTCTTCACTCTAGCAAAGGCCATTAGGTATTTCAGTTAAAATCTGTGATTTACTTTACTTGATGTGATTTACTTGATACAGGATGAGCTTAAAGAGGGTAGTAAAGGAAAAAATAGGAGCTTTCCATCCTGTGCAGTCATGCACTTTGTGCTGTGTTTATTTTCCCTTATAATTTTAAACTTTTGTTTATTTAGACTATAAGATGTTTCAGAAAAATTGTTATTGCCATGTATTTATACAGTACCTTTTCTGCAGTCCTACTCCAGGGTTTTCAGTGTGTCAGTAAGAAGTAATTTTTATACCACTTCATCCCTGTCTCCAACAAAATGTGGTTTGGAAATTGCAGCATGCATTGGAATAGCACACCATATATAGCAAAGCTTGTTTTGCCTTTATGTTGTATAATTATCTTGCCATAAGAGTTCAAGTCGATGTAATGCTTATGATACAACTGGCTATGGTTATGACTTCATTTTAACTTTATATATTTAAAATTGTCCGCTGATTAAGTAGTGAATGTGATCAAGAAAAACTTGTAGATGTTCTCCAAAGTAAGTATTTGGAAGCATGTTTACCAGTCTCTCCAAAGGAGGTGTCTGATTACAATTCTGTAACTGTGAGTGAAGGCAGCAGGTTTTCACTTGGCTGTCTCCTTACAAAGTGAGACCCCTGTATTTATTGCTTTGTGATTACTTTCCTTAAATTTACCATTGCTGGTTAAGTAGTAGTTGTTTTAAGATCATACACTGATTTGTATATGGTGGACATGGTTAAAACTTGCTTACATTTTAATGGCAAAATACAAAATTTCAGCAAGAGTTGCTTGCAGTTCTTTTCACTATAGAATTGGTCAAGTATGTTTGCAATTTGTACCTATCTTATTGTGTTTATACAAGTGGCTTTGATTTGTAAGAATGCTCTGGAAAAGATTAGCTTTTTATTCTGTTTGTACTGTAGTCATACACACGCCTGAAAATACCTAGTCTTCTTTCAAATACTTGCCTTTGCTATGAAGATCACATACCTGATGCAGTCAGTGACAACAGAAATAACTGATAATTGAAATAGTTGTTTAAATGGCATTGTTAACTTACAGATTGAAAACGTGTGCAGGGAGAATATCTGCTTTATGCTGGCAACAATGTAGTTATTATATGCAAGCCAAAGTGGCTAAAATTGACATACAAATAATTTTCTATTCATAATTAATTCCTAATTCAGTATGATCTTGGTATCAAGACAGCTCTGTAAGACTGTCAGATAAAGAAGTTGTTTTCAAAAAGCCTTTTAAGTTTCAAATTTAAATAGAAGGCCTTTTAAACAGCAAGAAATGCCAATTCTTTATTGGTTTTTGCTTAACCAGTGTATTATAAATGCATTTATTTTTTGCTGAGGGATCAAGTAGAGCATAGGAAAAGAGAATTCAAGAGATGAATGTTCCACTGTTTCAAGTGGAACAGTACTGCCTGGTTAAACCAAATGCAGATCAAATACTTCTTTGCATGACTTTTTAAATTTCTTTCTTTTTTTTTTTGACTCCTGACTGGCCCGAATCTGATTTTTAAATAAGCTTTCAAACAAAGCGAACTGTAAGCTTCTGCTTGCAACCAGTGGTCTTGGGCTGCAGTTAAGCTTGTTTGAAGCTCTAAGCACAGAGGTTTTGTCTTGTCTATTTTGTGTGTGTTGTGTGTGTGTGTGTGTGTGTGCGCGTTTGGGTTTTTTTGAGCAATTCATCTGAATTAAGCCTGTGTTGATGGCTGAGTATTAAAACACATGATAGGAATGTATTTGATGCTATTATCTCTGTTTATCACAAAAGTAGTCTACTATGGGAATTAAGGAAAGATGATTAGTTTAGAATGGAGGCTTTAGTTTACATTGAATGCTAGAAAAGATCATCATCATTACTAATTTTCTAAAGAATATATCAAGAGAAACATAAATATACCCACTGAGGTATCCTAGATCTCTTTGTGTGCTATGTCCTGCATTTTTAAAAAATATGCCCTATTTATATATGTACGTGTCCTGTGGAAGTACAGTTACTCAAACAACGGGAGTTCCATAGGAGGCTTTAATTATGAGTTGTATTCAAGATAATTTGTAGAATTACAGTCACAAATTTTTAGCTGTCTTGTCATCGTTGACTTAATGGAGTTATGACAGGAGATCTCTGGTCTAGGAAGGACAGAATTCTTTCAGATTTAACTGATGAATTATAGATAGCATTTAAATTTACAGTTGATAGCTACAGATTTACTGCAGGTGGTTCATGTGCCCAGCCCAGCTACTCTGTCGGATGTACATAATACTGGTGCAGCTGGCAGTACATTGCCCAACTTATTTCTACCCATTTAGTCAGGATATACGGTGATGTTTTGGTGATCTAGCTGTTTTACTGATGTGGTAGCTCCTTGGTTTACAGAATCATGTAGAAGAGACCTTTAAGGCCATCTAATGCAGCTGCCAATGCAGCAACAGTGTAATCACCCCTACAACATATTCCCAGGTGCCACATCCAGATATCTCTTGGACATTTCCAGAAATGGTGATTCCATCACTTCCCTAGGCAACTTATTCCAATGCTTGTTTACTCTTTCAGTGAAAAATCATTTTCTATTACCTAAACTGAACCTCTCCTAGTGCAATTTAAGCCCATTTCTTCTTTTCCTCGACACATGGCAGAAGAGATAGATCCTCCACCTGGCTACAAACTTCTTGTAGTTGTAGAAAGGGATGAGGTCCTCCTTGAGCTTCCATTTCTCAAGAATAAAAAACCCCGTTTCCATGAGCTGCTCCTCATATGACATGTTTTTTATACTCTCCCCCAGCTCCATTGGCCTTCTTTGGACAAACCTCAGGGCCTCAGTGTGTTTCTTGTAACAATAATGGGCCAAGAACTGAACACATGATCCAAGGTATGGCCTCATCAGTGACCTATACAGGGAGACAATCAACTGCTCTGCTCCTGCTGGCCACACTATTGCTGGTACAGGTCAGGATGCCTTTCGTGGCATCTTGGCCTTCTTGGCCGCCTGGGCACACCCTGGCTCATGGTTAGTCACTGTCACCAGCACCCCCAGGTCCTTTCCAGCCACTCTGTCTCAGCCTGTGGCACTGCCTGGGGTTGTTGTGACCCAAGGGCAGGACCCAGCACTGGCCTTGTTGAACCTCACACCATTGGCCTCAGCCATGATCCAGCCTGCCCAGATCCCTCTGCAGAGCCTTCCTGCCCTCCAGCAGATCAATAACCCACCCAGCTTGGAGTCACCTGCAAACTGACTGAGGCTGCACTCCATGAGATCATCAGTGAAGATACCAAACAGAACTGGTCCCAGTTCTGAGCCCATTTCTGTTCTGCTGGGGAACAGCACCTGTGGCCACCAGTTGGATGTTACTCCACTCACCACCACTCTCTGGGCCCAGCCATCCAGACAGTTTATCCAGGGAACAGTGCAAGCTGTCAGTTGCCAGTTTCTCCAGGATAATGCTGTGGGAAGTGGTATCAAAGGCTTTACTAAAGTCCATGCAGACTACATCCACAGCACATATCGACATTGTCACAGAAGAAGATCAGGCTGGTCAGTCAGGATCTGCCTTTCATAAACTCCTGCTGGCTGGGCCCAGTCCCCTGACTGTGTTTGATGTGGCATATGATGGCATGCAGGATGAGCTGCTCTCTAGTTAAGAGCAGCTGAAAGGTGGCTGGGTAGAAAAGAACATAAAACTGGAAGTGGTTTTTTTTTTGGCTTTCGTTACGTTTGGCATATTGTTGTGCCAAGCATCATAAAGATGGTGACGCATCATAAAGACTGCCCTATAATCTGCATGCTGTTCTTGTTTAAATGTGGTAATTTCCTCCCTTTGTTGTAAAGCTGCCAGCAAAAAGTGGTAGAGAGTTGCTGTACTTGCAGATCTGAAATTCAGCATATATAAGGTGTTGAAACTTTCTAGTAATAAATTCCTTGCACAAGGAAGGCCTATGAGCAAGTTATTTCTACATATCTTTATACTATTGAGTATTATTTATGGAATGCAGTATGTGGCTTGCTTGCACTTATTCCTTATATTCCTTTTCTTCCTACAGAAAATTCTGAAACACTTGATTCTGTAATTTATTTTGAACTTTGAAATAAATGTAGGTGACAATGCAAATTTAGTTTGACATTTTTAGTTGAAAAAATTCCATTGTGAATATATGCTACTCATGGATACTTGGGATGCTCTGTTTTGAAGGTGTTTTTTTGTACTTCTTTTAGTAGAAAAATTTTCTTGTTTCCTACTCATGATGTTAAACTGAATTCCTCATTATTATAAATATATTGGAAATTATTATAAAATACTGTGTTTTCCGGGCTTATGGCATTTCAGTCTGACAATTTTTTAAATGTAAACTGATCCTTTGAATTTAGAACTAAGAGTTAAAATTTTTTGCAAATTGTTTTCCTTTTTTTTAGTTGGAACCATCAGATGATTTCAGTTCGTGAGGCCAAGGCTATTGCAAGACCTGATGGTATTGAATGGAGAAACAAATTTATTTGTGTAGAAGGTAAAATGTGAAGCTGCATTATAATTTTTAACTGTTAAGGCATTAAATACATAAATCTATCAATTAGACTTTACCTTAGTTGTGTTTTGAGAAATATTTTGTATGTGTGTATTATGTAGAGAAAGAAGTTTAACCAATGTAAATCATTTGTAAACAGTCTCATCAAAAACATTTGAGAAGGAAGCTTTAGGTTCTAAAGTGTTTAAAAATAGTACTCCTGACCTTTTCTTCAAGAGCATTTATTGCCCTGTTACTTTTGGAACAGGGTTCATACTTAGATAAAGAATGGCCTTTATATCAGTAGTGTGTGTTTTTCTGCTCCGCAAAAATAGTTGTCAGTTTTGCCAAGTTTGAACTTCTGAAAAAACACAGCAGGCACAGATTATTCTTGAAGAATATTCTTTTCTCTAGAACTAATCTGGCATTGCAGTGACCAGGTTATGTGTATGTTGATCCCCTTGTGGGTGCTATTTTTGGCTGGCTAGTGAGCATAGACTTTGTGCAGAGACTACATGATACCTTCCAGAACTGGAGAGTAAACCCAGGCTACCTGTTGGAGTTGCAGGTCTCAGCTGTTTCAGTGCAGAACTGAGTAGGAGCACTATACAGGCAATCTGATTCATGTGCTTGTGACACCTTTCAGCTACCATGGGGAATGTATATGGAGAAGATGAGCAGGTAGGCATACGCAAGAGATGAAGCTTGCACTAAGGAAAGAGAAGATAATAAACCAGGAGAAGGATCAAGATGTTAGAAGAATAAGAAGTAAGGAAGGGACTGAGAGTTGCTGTGTAACTGGAAACAGTTGTCACAAAGGCAGAGGTGGCCTGGGTCCTGGTTTCAAATTAATGGAGGCTATTTTAGGATAAGGATATAAAGAGTTGAAGTCTCAGGATGAAATAGGAATATAATTTGAATAGGAGACAAACAGTATGGGGGAAGTTGTTACACTGAGAAGATTTTGCTGGCAGAGGAGGAGAGTAAGGCAGAAGTCCTGTGGCTGAACAGACATTCTTCAAGATTGATGAGGTGCACTTTCCTGCATTTATGCTGCTCTGTGCAGAGAATCACCTTCAGTCAACTTCACCTGCTGGTGAGCATGGCTGTTCTGTGGTCCAGAGCTCACCAATGTGGCCATAGTCATATGAATGTCAGTGTAAAACCACATGATGGGATTAGTATTCTTTATTTGACCCTTTGGGGAAAAATCAAGTTATAGGAGAAGAGCAACGCATTGAAATATGGTTGCACTGGACTCTGTAGTCTTAGAGTTGAGAAATGTGAGAATTAGAGTATCTGCACAGCTGAAATGATTCAGGATAGTGCAGTGAGGCATTGCCAAGGCTCTGCTCTGAATGTGAGAGGTGGGAATGCTGGGCAGCTATGTTTGCTGCTGTCACGTGATGCTGATCCATTGTATTGCAGGGAGCTGTGTGTTTCAAGCTCTCAAGTATTTTATGACATTACAAAATGGTTGAATAATGAGGTTATCTTTTTGCCAGGCTGGAAAATAGAATAAACATCAACATACAAAACAGTCACTCTAGATACTACATTTAATGGTCTTGATTACTTACAACTTTTCCAATTGTTTGAACTATTAAAAAAGGCAAAATTAGCAATAGGTGACATATGTGATTCCTTCCTGGGTTCAAGACTTAGTGGGTTTAGCCTCACATACCAAGTTTTTACTTCTAATTTGGGAGGAAAAAATAAAATCTACTTTTACCCAAAGTAGATTTCATGTTTATAACAGCTGTTAAGCTGGACTAGGTTAACAAAGTGTGTAGATAAATTTCTGTCTACTTGAGAAGATTTCAAAAGTTAGCTAAAAATGCATTGGCATATATTTCTGTTATTCTGTTTTCCTAATCTTTGTCAAATTTTCCTATTTGCAGAATAATTTCAGTATTTGGTACTATTGCATATTTTTTAAATATCTGAAATATATTTATTTATAGGTTACACAAGTCTGTGCCTGCAAGTTTCCACAGTTCTGCATGTAGTACAGTATTTAGATTAGCTCAAGAAAAACTGTGTTCTGTTTTAAATGTTATGGGACTTAGAGCTGATTCTTGCATGTATTTCAGCTGTTAGAGAAAAAAATATAGTAGAGATGCTCTTTCCAGACACTTTAAAATATGATAGGCTTTTACCATGATGGCGATAGACAGATACAGAGAACTCTGCTTTTAGATAATATTTTAAACAATCCTTGTCAGAAGCTCTAAAGGGTTAGCAACTCTTCCAGTTTCAGTTTAAATCTTGTCTGTATGGAGTAATATCAAATACCCTCCTGTTCAAAAGGGAAAAACTGGAAATGTGGTAGTTTCTTATGAGATCATTACATTGATAATCATTTAGGGAAGTCAAATCAGAAGCCATCTAAGCTGCACGTGATTCATATTTGTAGTTTCAAGTCCTTCAGATCCACATGCTAAAAATAATTAATAAAACAATTCCTCAGAGCTTGGTCAGCAGCAATTCTGAAGTTGTGTGGTATTTTGTATTTTTTTTTGGAAAAAATTATTCTCTTTAGCCTTTCCCTCAAGCATCCGTGTTAAAGCTGTATTACTTTTTCCTTTTAATATTCTCATCTCTCTATGTGAACAAAATAACTTACAATAAACTCTTACTGTCTTAATAGTTAGAAAATGTAGTGGTGTAAAGAGTAGCTGATTGCAATATTATGCAATCTTGCTGTTCTTCAGTTTGTCTTTTGACAATCAGTAAATATGCAGGAAGATTAAAGGGAAGATGTGAGTTAGCTTTTGCGACTGGAGCGCCTTTTTTCCACTGATGGTTTCAGAAGATTGTACAGCCCTTGTTACTTTAAAATATAGATATAACTTGGTTCATTGTAAAGGTCCTAGCATCAAAAAAGCAGTTGCCATCACATTTATGATACACAAATGAAATACTGTATTTGTTCACATAGTAAGGGACATGGAGTTCTTAACTATACTGGATCACTCTCAAATAATGGGACTGACATTAGAGGACTGTGCATGTTTTATTTGGTTGCCAGTTTTTGTTCCAAACTAAATGTATGATGTATTCTAAAATTTAAAAAAATCTGCCTGTAAGTGCCCACTGAAAACTAGGTGATTTGAAGAGAATCCTTTTAGAAAACTGCTAATTACAACATTTATTGTATGAAAACATTTCGTAGTGAATTTTAATAGCTAGCAGAAATAAAAACCTAAAGCAATGAAGCATGTACCAAATTTGAAATTCCTGTCTCCATAAAGGCACAAGCCCTTCTGGTGTCTGTGTAATGCTTTATTTTGCTATACATCACTATCGAAATAAAAGTAATCCATAACCAGCTACACAAAAAAATCTACCTGATCTAACAGATACTTCTGTGGTTCTGTGCTCTGTGAGGACTTGTATACATTCTATCAGTGTGAAATATACAATGTTACTTAAGCAGTTCTCTACTAAGAAAGAAAAGACTATAAAATCTGTTTTGTAGCACCCTGTAATGCATAGTCCCTCCATCATAATTTTTTAGTGTTGGCAGCCTTATCAGTAGCAAGAAGTACTTTTTTAATCTTGCAATTTTAAAAGTTCCAAACTATTAATTAAGTTAGGATAAAAAAGGGAGGGAACATAACAAAATTTATAGTCAGTTAGAAAGTGGAACCCCCAAATTATTAACTTATGAACAAATATTGGAGAATAGGTATGAAATAACCTGAGATTATTATGAATTACACATCATTAGAGCATTCATTGAATCATAGAATGGTTTAGATTGGAAGGGACTTTAAGTATCATCTCTTTCCAACTCCCCTGCCATGACCTTGACCAGACCTTGAGCACTTCCAGGGATGGGGCATCCACAGCTTCTCTAAGCAACCTCTTCCAGTGCCTCACCACCTTCACGGTAAAGGATTTCTTCCTAATACCTAGTCTTAAGCTTGCTCTTTTTGGTTTAAAGCCATTCCACCTAATCCTATTATTACATGCTCCTAGGAAAAGTCCCTCTCCAGCTCTCTTGTAGGCCCCTTTTACATACTGGGAGGTGCTATGAGATCTCTCCCAGAGCCTTCTCTCCAGATTGAACAATTCCAGCTCTCTCAGTCTGTCCTCATAGGAGAGGTGCTCCATCCCTCTGATCACCTTGGTCTCCTCTGGACTCCCTCCAGCAGGGCCATGTCCTTCCTGTGCTGGGAGCCCAGAGCTGGATGCAGCCCTGCAGGTGGGGTCTCAGCAGAGCAGAGGGGCAGAATCCCCTCCCTGCCCTGCTGCCCACACTGCTCTGGATGCAGCCCAGCACACGTTTGGCTCTCTGGGCTGGGAGTGCCCATGGCTGGGTCATGTCCAGCCTCTCAGCCACAGCACCCCCAAGCCTTTCTGGGCAGGGCTGCTCTCAGTGAGATCATCTCCCAGTCTGTGCTCTTTTCTGGAATTGCCCCAGTCCAGGTGCAGCACCTTCCACTTGTTGAATGTCCTGAATTCCTCTTGGGCCCACCGCACAGGTTTGTTTATGTGCCTCTGGATGGCATCCTGTCCTGTGGTGTCAACTGCACTGCTCAGCTTCGTGTCATCTCCCTGACGATGTTCTCCATTCAGGGCATTCAGAGAAATCAGGGCTTGGGGCTTCTTTTTTTTTTTTTAATTGGTTTGTTTGTTTTGTCTTGGGTTTTTTTATTCTTGTGGGGGGTTGTTTTGTTTTATTGGTTGGTTTAGTTTAGCTTTGGTTTGGGGTTTTTTGGATAAATGTTATGTAGAAAGAAAGCTTGAGAACCAAAGAGGAATTGACTATTTAAAACACTTTTGAGAAGCACTTACATGCTTGACCCTACTTTGTTAGCAGAAACAACCTAACTCTAGATTTTTTTTAACAGTTTTCATGTTTGTTTTTAATCTTGCAGAGCCCTTTGATGGGACAAATACTGCTAGAGCTGTACATGAGAAGCAGAAGTTTGATATGATCAAAGGTGAATTTGCACAGGTAAGAAGGACATCTCATCTAATTTTTCTGGTCACTTTGTTTTTCAGGATAAGTATACTATCTTAAAAATACTAGTTCATTAAACCTGCCTGTTTCTGATGTTTTATACTTTGTCTTATAAGTAATAGTAATGTGTGTTTTAAAAAAAAAATCTGGAAAAATAATTTCTTAAGGGTATTCATTAATGTCTGCTCTTAAACTTGAGGTTTACACTGAAGTGGGTACTCAAAATAGTAAAAACCCTTTCTCTTAGATTTTTTTGTGTGTGTAAAATTCTAGCAGTGATTAATAGCTTTAAAATTACAACTTTGTTTTCATTCATTATTTATTCCTACATGAATTTGATTGGTAATAGATAATATTTTATACTTCTTACTACTCCTTTTTAAAATAAATATCGTCATTAAAATAATGGGGATTTTCTGATTTTTGGTAACTTATTTAGATGGGTACTTTTCTTTAGGGAGACCACACTCATAGTTTTAGAACATGAGTAGTTCAAACAGGAACTTTCATGTCCCAGTCAAGGGAGGAAAGGACACTTTGAAACAAGAAAAATATCTAGGCCTTGGTTGAACATTCTTTTTCTGAAAATTTATGCTACTGACTCTCTTTTATGCTTGTCCTTTATCATAGGCATTGTGTAGGAATTGCATCTCAAATTCTAATTTTCTGAGATCTCTGTTTTTTATGTAGTTATTACTGGAGATTAATGCATAGAACTAGCTTCCAGCTTCAACTAGTTAAGACTCCCCTGTTAAGCTGTCCTTGGAGCTTCGTGTTTACTCCAGTTATTCAAGTCTTTAAGTACCTTGAAGGCTTCTCCAGCAAAAAGTAATTCAATGCCAGAATCTTGTAATAGAGCAAATGCTATTACTTTACTCAGAAAAGGATAACATTTCCTTTGTAATTCTATTTATTGGTTTTTCATTTATTTAAACATGTTAGTGTACAAAATACTGAATCATTCACATACTCGTACATAAAATACTTGATTTTGTGAATCTGCTAAAGTCATGTTTATGAACTGGTTTGGGCTCTCGTGGTACTGTGAAATTAGAGTGAAGTTTTCTTTTCAGAGTTTTCAGTTAACAAAATTTGTTTCAAACCTCTGTCATTTTCTGAAAAATGTAAAAGCAGATGTTTGATCCTAGCAGTCTGGAAGCAATATACTAGAGTGATATAGCCCTGAAAAAATGTCCTTGTTACCTGATACTGTAAGAATGACAGTTGCTCTAAAAGTGCAAGTACTTTTTAATATCCTGCACTATTTTTTAAGAAGCTTCAGCAATTTGTTTTGTCCTTGTGAGGATTATTCTTCTTGTGGTTTTCATTGCACATTGGAGTGTAAATAACTTCTGTATAAACACAGGAGTGTCACTGCAGTTCTTTGCAGGCTCATGGCATAAAAGATGTCATGAAACTCACACTAGAACATAGAAGAAAGTTGAAATAACTATTTTAGAGACACAACTAAGTTCTGGAAATGTGCATAATATCATTTATCAGGAACTGCATAGTATCATTTATCAGGAACTTTGACATGTGTGCATTTGAGACAATTATTTTGCATTTAGAGTACCAGTGTAATGCTTAAATATTGTTAATATCTCTGTCTCCAAAAATCCAGTCTCTTCTTCAAAGGCTTTACTTTCCTCATTAGTTCGTTGCATTTTGTGTACTTTTTGGATTTTATTTCCCTCAAAAAAATCCCAAAAACAAATGAACCAAAAAACCTCAACCCACAAACTTTCTTTTCAAGAAGAGGAAAAAATTTTGTGGAAGTGTGATGCTTATTGCTTATAATGGTATTTAAGTTTTAATGGCAAAAATAAGGTAGTGTTTTTTAAAAACCTTGTGTTTTTTTTCCCTCAGGCCTGGCGGTTATTACGAGACAAGAAAGACCTGAACTGTATATTACCTTTAAAAGCAGCCAGACAGAAAAGATGACTAGCTTCTTTCATTTTCCCTTTTTTATGGATCCTGCTGAAAAAAAGAACAGTGTCAAAATCAGGAGGCACTTACCCCATGGTTTTTATGACCTGTTTTTCTCTGTAAACTTTCGTTAAGGAAATGTTTATAAGGAAGTGGCATATTTTATTATTGGTGTTTGTTAATACAGCTGTTCGTTCAAAGATATGCTTTCTGAAAATGCTTGCATTGTTGACTTCTAGAAGAAATTCACAGCAAACAACAAGAATGCATCTATTTTAAGGAAAGTATGGGGATATACTTACTTGTTTCTAGCGTGATCTGTGTGACCATTAATTCAGATTTAGCCATGAAAGATAGATACTCAAAGTTAAACCATGTGCAAATCTGACTATGTCTTTAAGGCGCTGTGCACTACCAACGTCTTGATGAAGAGAGTCTGTGCTTTACACCTGCTTGATTGCAGTAAGCACACTTCTGCTCAACTTAGCACTTTCCAGTTTTATTTCACTTTTACTTGGAATAACAAGCAACTGTTTATGAAAATGAAGCTAGATTATGATTGGTAGTACTCCGAATATCAAGAACTATAATCTAAACTGGACTTTTCAAGCAACAGTTTTACTATGAAGAAGTTGAAGTAAAAAATCTCAATTCAATGCACGTAAATGCTTCACATTCACACAGAGTAGGCAGGAAAAATTTTAGTGCTTCCTTTTACATATTTAAAGTAGTAGTGATGTCTCTTTTGGAGAAAAAGACCAAAATCAAAACACTTCACATCAATGCTAAAATAAGCTGGGCTTCTCATTTGGTTTTGTGTAAATGTTTGTGAATTGCTCAGCCACTGTAAATTGAATCTAATTAATACTGAAAATTATAGCTCTTCCAAAAAAATTGCAAACCTTAGACCTCCTATAGCACAAGTTGTTCTCTCATGTATTTGTTATTGAAGACCAATTAATTATTAAGATTGCATTTACCACTGATGTTAAATTCGTACTTCCATTTTTTAAAGTTTAATATTTTATATGGGGTCCAGTGAAATAAAGTTTATATATGGAAGATACGGGTTATTTTTCCAATTTATGTTATTTTGTACTGCATATTTAAAATATTTCCTCTAATTAAGTAGAATAGGAAATGCCCCCTGAGGTAAGACCCATGTTGGAATTAATCATGATCTATCATGGCTATTCTGCAGTACATCTGTGAATAGGCAAAAGTTTGATTTATTACATCCTCTTAACAAGATTGTGAAAACCCTTATAACTGTAAAATAACAAGCATTATGTCTTCTTGTGCAAACTTTTATGTTCTAGTTTATTTAGAACTTCTAAATACTGTAAACTATGTCTGATGTGATATTACTTCCTATACATTTTGTCACAGTCTATTCTATGTAGAATTTTGCCTTCTTTCTGCAATTGATTTCTCTTCTGCAGTTTAAACTCTCTTTCAGTTTTAATATGACTCTAGCAGTCCACTGAAATGTTCTTCCTCCTTGCATATGTTCACCCTCACTGCCCTTTCTCTATAGGATGGTAGACTTGGGTCTCAGTGAAACATTCACTTTGATTCACTGTATGTAAAATTGAAGCACAAGATTTTAGGACAGGATGATGACTGGATTCAAAGATGCTCTATAAGCTCTGTGTTGATTCTGGGAAAGGGGGTGTTGGCTATATCTTTGTCTAGAAAATTTAAAACTTTCTCAACCTAGGATAAATAAGAAGTGACATAAATGTTTAAAGTTGGTAAAAATATATATTTAAGTGAGCTGAATGTGAGAAACAAAATTTTATAAAAGGCATAAAACTTTCTCATGAGTTTGTATTGCATCACCTCATGTGTCAACATTTCTTATACTTAAATTAATGTGTTTGAAACCACTCCTTTGTAACTGTTTTTAAAAGGTTAGTTTAAAAAATTGTAGTATCTCTGAGGTACTCTATGAAAATTGCCCTACCAATTCAGTGGTATTTTTAATACAAGATATAGTCTGTAACCACAACGGTCCGTGTCTTTGAAAATAATCCTTTTGTATTTTCTTCCCAAGTTTATGTCCTTCTCATAAGCCATGTCCATAACCAGAAATTCTAGATGGTTGTTTTCCCCAATTTTTTTTTAACAAGCCCGTTGATAGCATGTTTCCTAAATAGCAGGCTGCAACTTTTGTCAGTAAACTTCAGATATAATAGCACAAAATAAGTGGCTGGGGGAGAGTGGGTAGCAGCTGGACTTTTAACTTTGGATCCAGTTCTGTATAGTCTAAATTGTCAAGAGGTTTAATGACCTGGGTTTTCATCTACTCAGGGCAAGTATCCAGAGTGAAAAATTCACCAATGACTATCATACCAGTTAGTGTTAGGGTAAAGTTTTCACATTTCCTCAGCTTCAAAATAAAAACTTTTACTCTTGGCATACATCCTAGCAGGACTAGTTTTTTCTGAGAGCTCTTTGGTAAAAATACTCCTTGGTATTTTTCACCGCTGACCAAGGTTTCAGTGTGTTTGCGAGATGCTGTCTTCTCTGGGATTTGTTATTGCCTTGAAACAAAACTGCTTTAGTTCAGCACTTTTATTTATTTATTTTAAAAAATTATTATTATTGACTACCCTTTTAAGCATTAGGTTCTCTTGTCTTTTCTCATTTCATGTGTCAGAAGCCACTAGTGTCTTCTCTAGGATTTTAAGAACTCTATTTAGTCCTTCAGGCTCAGAGGTGCACAGCAGGACCAAACATTGGCAAGAACTTAACATTTGCTGACAGTAATGCAGAACTGGTATAGGCTATACACTGTGAAACTTAAAGTTTCTATTCTAGCTCTTGCTCTCACTTGTCCTGAAATATAAATGTGTAACTGAACTCTCAGTACCTTTAGGTGTGTTGACAGTATAAGGTGTTGTTTTTTAAAAACCCCTCACAACGAAATCGATATAAATCAATTTTAAGACTCACATTGCAGGGTGACATGGTTATTTGGGAAAAACAGCCAGTGGTGAGAAAAGTATGTAAGATGATTTGTATAAAACCTGAAGTTAGCATTTGTGAATATATTATATTTGTGAATCCCAAACATTTATTTGGAACTAGTGCTTTACTTGAACTTGTGTTACTGGACTCGATTCACAGTATATGTGATGTTAAATTTACATCCATCAGAGAATGTCACTCTTGATTTACTGTACTGTACTTGCTACGGGTTGTCCTGTATTTTGTGGTTTTTGGGGTTTTTTTGCCTTTTTCTCTGTAATCCTGGTGTATTCAGATATAAATATTTCCTTGATTTTACTGCGTATGATGCTTGTCTGAAGAGCATGAAAGAATGTGTGCTTTTGGTCAAATTCATTTGAGAGATGTACAGATTGAAATAAGTTGAAGGGTTTGAGGTGAAAGTGTACTTGCCTTTGTGTGCTGGAGACTGAATGAAAACTTGTACAATGTACGTATGTTTCATCTATAAGCATTTCTAGGAAACTTGAAATGCTCTTGCCTTCCACATGAAATTTAAGGAGGAGTACTTCATAGTCTTTACATTTTGCTGTGTTGTTTCGGTTTGAAAGACAGGTATTTTGTTAAGGAAAGGCGAGAACCCCTTTTCTGAGATGCAGAGTGCAACCCCCTCCCTTCTAATTATTAAAGTTTCAAATCAGAGGCTTTCAGGCAGGAGATATGGGGATAGGAATAGCAGTTCTTTACTGATATCTAACAAGGCACACAGCAGAAACAACACCAGCTATAAAAACTGACAACAGAGCAGAGCAGTGCAGCTCAGTTCCAGTCCCTTTGGCCAAGGCCTCTCTCCCTGCGCTCAGTTCCCGGTGCTGGGGGCAGGGCAGGGCCCGCGCAGCTGAAGGCGCTGGGTGATGGCGGCAGCGCCCAGGGGGGAGAGGGATGGAGGAGCCGCTCCCCCCTCACGGTGTCGGTCGTGGTGCTCGGCAGAGTGTCCGGAGGCAGGAGGATGAAGTGGGAGAGGAGCAGAGCGGTGTTCGGTGGCAGGGAACGTGGCTCTCGGTGTTGGGATGGCGGGGAAGATGCCGGATCGGAGCACGGGCTGTTCTCCTTCCACTCCATGAGCAAAGCGAGAGAGCGAGAGAGAGCCCAGGCCCCGTCCCACCTTTCCTTTTCTGGTGTCCCATTATCCCTCATCCCCCTGCGAGAGAAAACTATTGCTACTAAGGTGTAGCCACAAATACTTAGCGTAACAATGGGAAAAATTCCACAGAAAGAAAAGGGAACAATTCAACCCCCAACATGTGTACACTGTCTATGTTCTTGATGAAATGTAGAGTTTAATTTAGTTTAATATCTGTTTCAAATACACTTTTCAAAAAAGTTATATTATCACTTTGTAAATTGTGTATGTCACTGTGTGGGTCAAGAGAGCAGAAAGGTTTTACCTGTACATACTGTTTTGAAATGTCAGGAGAATTTTAATTTAGCATGCAGAAGTAGGTTGTAGTCAGAAGTACAGGGCTGGGTGTTTCTATACTTACAGCACTCTTAAGTGAGAGTTTGCTGATTGATTTATAACCAGCTATTTATTTGAAGAACAATTAAAAAATTAAAAAAAAAAAAAGACGGGGGCATTAGAATTATACTGTGCATACAGTTGTTTATACTTGAGATATCTTGGAAGTTCTTTACTTAGAATCAGGGGTTTAGCACTTTTCCTCCTCTAATAATTTTTTTTTTAAATAAAGTCATTATTTTGACTAGTACAGATTAGAAATATTTCTGTTTTGTCTGTGAAAAGCACTGCATTTTGCGTAAAATGCAGAATAATAAAAGGTAAATGTGGCTTAACCTAAACTCTGCATGGTAGTATAGCTTGTCTTTGCTTTAAGCTATAAAGTGGTATTTGACTGGTTCAAGTCCACTCAAATAGGAGGTTTTAAAGGTCCTGTGATTTAACACGTTGAAAACTCGAGGGTTTAAATACATTTCTTCTGCATAGTTAAATACCACAGTGCATCTGATACCTCTTACAGTACGATAATAATAATGAGATGTGTTTGTTGAAGGCTCATCCACTAGTTATTGTATTTGACCTTTCCAGCTCAAGCTTGACGTGCTCTGGGTGTGCTCAAGGGCAGGATTTGTGAAATGTACTTTCTTGTGGGGTCACAGATAAACTCTCCTGCTTCATCTGTACCATCCACCCCAACTTTGCTGGAGGTGACTGGGGGAAGGTCTGCTTGGCCGCCTTCCTCCCTGCTGCTGCCTGACTGCCCTGTCTGCTGTACAAGCGGCTCTGTGGCAGCAGCGGCAGGCGAAGGGGGAGAGCAGCTGGAGAGATGGCCACGGGGCCACGTGTCCTGGCACAGGGCTGGTGCTAGGAGCCAGGGTAGGAACAGCAGCGACTCTGCGCTGTAACTTTGCTGCCTTCTATTTAAAGACTGCCCTGAGTCAGGAGAAGTGAGTGCTACTGGGGATGACAGTTGCTTCAGGCAGCCCTGGGGAGGACAGGGTTGGGGGTAAACATCACCGGCGAGGGCCTGAGCAGGGAAAGGAATGGAGGGCTCCCGTGGCGCCGAGTGCGACAGGGCATCCGAGACCTCGTCCTTCATAGGGGATGAGGAAGAGGAAGAAGAGGAGGAGGAGGAGGAGGAAGAAGAAGAAGAGGATGAGGAGGCCGTGGACCCAGAGGAAGCAGAGGA